TGGCGTGATGTCTTAGTGGCCAAATCCTCACATAGCAAGTGCAAGCATCCCATATGGGCACTGGTTCATGTCCCAGCTCTTCCACTTCCCATCCAGTTCCCTGCTTGTGGAAAAGCAATCAAGGACGGCTCGAAGTCTTGGGATCATGCATCCCCATGAGAACCCAGAAAAAGTTCCTGGCTCCTGGCTTCAGATTGGCTCAGCTCCAGCCATTGCGACTACTTGTAGAGTGAACCAGTGGGTGATCTTTTTCTCTATCTTTTCTGTAAATATGCCTTTCCCCCCCCCCCCCAAAAAAAAAAAAGGCGGGGGGGGCCTGGTGAGATGGGCTAGGAGCTAAAGTCCTTGCCTTTCATGTGCTGGCTCTAATCCTCATAGCCCCACTTCCCATCCAGCTCCCTGCTTGTGGCCTGGGAAAGCAGTCAAGGATGGCCTAAAGCTTTGGGAGCCTGCACCTGTGTGGGAGACACAAAAGAAGCTCCTGGCTTCTGACTTCGGATCAACTCAGATCCAGCGGTTGCAGTCACTTGGGAAGTGAATCATCGGATAGTATATCTTCCTCTCTGTCTATCCTCCTCACTGTATATCTGACTTTGCGATAAAAATAAATAAATCTTAAAAAAAAGAAAAAGTTCATGGAGAAATGGAATAAAAAATGCAGGCTTGTCTTTGTGCACAAAAATTTTTCATATAATATATAGAAATTGCATATTATGAATAAATATACATATTATGAATAAAAATAAAAATAAATATTATGAATAAACTATACATATATCTGAATAAACTTATTTGATTTTTTTCATGATCTTCTTGAAGTACTAAGTGTCTGGTAATTAAAGTGTCACGATCTTTTTGAAGTACTGTGTCTGGTAATTAAAGTGTGCTCCGGAGAAGGATAAGCATTGAGGTCATCTTGACCTTCGGTCACTTGCTTTAAAATGGGCAGGAGCAACAGTGCCACCTGGTGGCAAAGACTAAGTGGTGCAATTCACCCTAATTTAAAACCTTTTTTTTTTTTAAGATTTATTTATTTTTTTATTGCAAAGTCAGATATACAGAGAGAAGAGAAGATCTCCCGTCTGATAACTCACTTCCCCCCCAAGTGCTTGCAATGGCCAGAGCTGAGTTGATCAGAAGCCAGGATCCAGAAACTTCTTCAGGGTCTCCCACATTGGTACAGGAGCACAAGGCTTTGGCCGTCCTTTACTGCATTCCCAAGCCACAAGTTGGGATGGGAAGTGGGGCCACTGGGATTAGAACCAGCGCTGATATGGGATCCTGGTGCGTGCAAGGCGAGGACTTTAGCTGCTATGCTACTGTGCCTGGCCTGAAATTTTTTTAAAACTGTTTACTTGGATATACCTAGGTTACTTATTTAATAGCATAATAGCTGCTGTTTGAGAAATTATTACCAGATGCTAGCTAAATATGGTGCATGTATTAATTCTCACAATATGTCTAAGATATTAATTAATAATAAGTATATTGGTATAACTCTAAAAAGAAAGAACACATGGATTGGATGAAATATCCTGCCTAGGGTCACAGCTGATCATTGGGACAGGCAGAATTCAGACCCAGGTCAGTCTCATTCCAGAGTTTCTATCTGAAGCACTAAGCTTTACTGCTTATTTAAGGATTGAATGTGAATTATTAGCTAAAACTCAGGGAGGAGGTTTTTAAGTCATTGTCAACTGGGACCTGGGAATATGAACTCAATGTGTTCCCATACTTCATTTTTTTTTTTTTATTAATTGCATTGCATTATGTGACACAGTGTTATGGGCACTGGGATTCCCCCCACCCCTACCCAACCCTCTCCCCATGGTGGATTTCTCCACCTTGTTGCATTTCTACAGTTCAAATTCAGTTGAGGTTCTTTCATTGGAAGTATTTACCAAGCATAAAGTCCAGCATCTTATTATCCTAGTGAGTTCAACGATTTCTTGGTGAGATCATCTCTAGTCTGAAGGTAAAGCCAGCCATACTTCATATTTTAAAGATAAGGACCTGGGCCTGGTGCAATAGCCTAACCTCCCCTGAGATTCCATATGGGTGTTAGTTTGTGATCTGGCTGTTCCATTTCCTATGCAGCTCCCTGTTTGTGACCTGGAAAAGCAGTAGAGGATAGACCAAAGCCTTAGGACCCTGCACCAATGTGGAAGACCTGATGGAAGCTCTTGGCTTCAGATTGGCTCAGCTCTGGCCATTGTGGCCTGTTGGGGAATGAACTAGGAGATGGAAGATCTTTTTCTCCGTCTCCTTCTCTCTGTAAAATCTGACTTTCCAATAAAAATTTAACAGTAAATCTTTTTTTAAAAGCTTTATTTATTTTTTTATTGCAAAGTCAGATATACAGAGAGGAGGAGAGCAGAGAAGGTCTTCCACCCAATGATTCACTCCCCAAGTGACTGCAATGGCCAGAGCTGCGCCAATTCAAAGCCAGGAGCCAGAAGCCAGGAGCTTCTTCTGAGTCTCCCACGCAGACACAGGGTCCCAAGGCTTTTTTTTTTCCACTGCTTTTCCTGGCCACAAGCAGGGAGTTGGATGGAAAGTTGGGCCACTTGGATTAGAACCGGCACCCTTATGGGATCCAGATACATTCAAGGTGAGTACTTTAGCTGCTAGGCTACTGTACCAGGTCCTAAAAGTAAATCCTTTTTTTTTTAAGATTTATTTATTTGGGCCCGGCGCCTTGGCCTAGTGGCTAAAGTCCTCGCCTTGAACATGCCCAGGATCCCATATGGGCACCGGTTCTAATCCCGGTGGCTCCACTTCCCATCCAGCTCCCTGCTTGTGGCCTGGGAAAGCAGTCGAAGACGGCCCAAAGCTTTGGGACCCTGCACCCGTGTGGGAAACCTGGAGGAAGTTCCTGGCTCCTGGCTTCAGATCGGCATAGCATCGGCCATTGCACTCACTTGGGGAGTGACTCATTGAATGGAAGATCTTCCTCTCTGTCTCTCCTCCTCTCTGTGTATCTGACTTTGTAATAAAAATTAAATAAATCTTAAAAAATTAAATTATTAAAAATATGCAATTATGTATCAAAACAAATAGAGTATGATGCCATGGCTCAACAGGCTAATTCTCCACCCTGTGGCATCAGCTCATGTCCTGGCTGCTCCACTTCCCATCCAGCTCCCTGCCTGTGACCAGTGGACCATTTACTCCTTAAATGCCAAAGTTGGGAGCCCAAAAACTCAAGCTAGGTTTCCCATGTGAATGGCAGGGATCCAAGTACTTGAGCCATATCCCCTGCTGCCTCTCAGGGTCTACATCAGCAGCAAGCAGAAATGAGCAGTAGAGTGAGAAACTGGGCACCTCCAACATGGATACAGGCATTCCGGAACATCCCGAGGTCCTCGCCAGATGCCTTCCTGTCACACTTGTGCTCTGCCGGCCAGGCCTCCTGCGAAGGATTCAGAATGATCAGAATTGGGACTATTCTACAGCTCCATTAGAACAGGTGATGCTTGGGAAAGCTAGCATGACCCAATAGATCTCACTAGGCCACTAAGTACTGAACCAAGGACTACAACTTCCCTGGGTGCTGATTCTTTGTCTATAAAATAGGCAGAGGGAAAGCCAGATGCCTTGCAGGGTCCTTTTAGATTTTAAAATGCTTTAATTAAAACAAAGTGGAAAAAGCTTTGTTGCTCCCTCCTTAAAGCACCCCTAGCCCAGAAATGACTCATTCTAAATCCTGAGACCACTACACCTCAGGACCAGGGTGTTTAGCACATACTCTCAACCCTGAAACACATACCCAAAGGTACCCCTGAAGCCTAGTTCAGAAATTTTTGAGGGCCTGGCACAATGGCGCAGTGGTTAAGGTCCTCACCTTGTACGCCCGGGAACCCATATGGACGCCGGTTCTAATCCCAGCAGCCCTGCTTCCTATCCAGCTCCCTGCCTGTGGCCCAGGAAAGCAGTCGAGGATGGCCCAAAGCTTTGGGACCCTGCACCCGTGTGGGAGACCTGGAAGAGGCTCCTGGCTTTGGATCGGCATAGCATTGGCCGTTGCGCTCACTTGGGGAGTAAATCATCGGACGGAAGATCTTCCTCTCTGTCTCTCCTCTCTGTATATCTGCCTTTCCAATAAAAATAAAATAAATCTTTAAAAAAAAAAAAGAAATTTTTGAGTTATTTTTTATTGTTGGAAAGGCAGATTTAAGGAGTCAGAAAGGTCTTCCATCTGTTGATTCACTCTCTAAATGACTGTAACAGCCAGAGCTGAGCTGATCCAAAACTGGAAGCCAGGAGCTTCCTCTGGATCTCCTAGGCGGGTGAAGGGTCCCAAGGCTTTGAACCAGCCTGGACTGCTTGCCAGGCTATAGGCAGGGAGCTGGATGGGAAGTGGAGTTGCTGGGACACAAAATGGGGCCCAAATGAGATTCTGACACTTGAAGGTAGAGGATTAGAAAGTTGAGAATTACACCAGGGCCTAGTTCAGTCATTAAAGCTAACAGGTCAGATGCACAGCGGCCAATGCGTGAACTGAGAAAGATGTGTTATTACTGCCGGCATCAGGCTAAGAGCTCACACTTGCAAAAAGGCCTTTCCTTCAGCAACTTTCCTGCCCTCATCACTTGCTCTCTGACAGAGCCCTTACTTTTCAGTTGGCTACGACCAACAGCCCCTTCCCGTCTCTGCTCTTGCTGACCCCTCCATCTGGAAGGGCAGAAAGGGAACAATGCATGGTCATTATTTCCTTTTAAGATCAAGTTTGGCACTGATGCATGGAATTCTAGAATTCCATACTACAAAGGATTTAGAGGCTGCTTTTCTCACAATGAGAATCTCAACACACTGTTTCGCGTTGGGGCAGTAAATCTACACCGACCAGGACATGAGTGGCGCAGACCCTCAGAAGGCCAGAAAAGAAGTGCAGACCTGCCTGCTGCACCAACCCCCATCCGTCCTCTCCCTCCGCCTCCCCGCCCGTCTGGAATCCTGTATGTTCAAATCTGATGAAAGGGCTGATTCCAGGCCACGCAAAGACAACACAATGTGCACTTTGGGTTTCATTTTTTTTTTCTTCAGTTCATTTCCATAAAAACCTAATAGAAAAGGCAATGCCGCCATCTTCCCCTCCTGGGGGTGATCCGTCCGCCTGCACTCCTCCGACGGTTCTCAGAGTTCATCATGAGATGTGTGCAGGGCATGGTCACAGAGATCTGCAAACAGAAAGCAATGACGCCACGTTCAGGCCAACACAAGCCACTCTTGAGAAAATTCCTGCAGCGAAGTTGACAACACACACACACACCCCATCCTTGCGTGTATCCGCTTACAAATGGCAAAACATCCCCTCACCCACACCCTCACTTCTCTCTCCAATTCTGAAAGCTGACAGGAGGAGAACTAAGATGAACACCCTGAGGCCCTAAGCCAAGGGAAACGAAAGGCAGTTCAGGTTATCCTCAGGACCTCAGCCCTGCTCCCCTGCCGCTCCCCCAGAGCAGGTGGCCACCCATGTACACAGGGCGGCGAGAGGAGGGGTTGAACCAGGCAGGAACTCACCTGTTCGCTTACTGCAAAGTTTGTCTTTGACATTGTCAGCCTCCCGGGAGAAGAACTCAATGAGCTCATCTTCATATTCTTCCACGATGCTCTCACACTGCCAGACCAAAGGCGAGACAAGGAGGTGAACCTGGCTTCCCACCTGAGCCCTCTGCCAGCCCTCCCCACGTGCGCTCCAAGCAACTCACCGCAAACTTGAGGGTGCCACTGATGTCGGAATCGATGCGGATGCCCTGTAGGTCCAGCTCACTGGACTCCCCGTTGCGGCCCACTACGCGGACGTAGTTCTTGCGGTGGGTGGACGGGTCGATCTGTTCCCCGTATTCCTTCATCCGGTCGCACACCTCCTCCAGCAGTTCCGTGAGGTGGGCTTCTGAGCGGGCGTAAGGCACCTACAAACGGCTCCAGCTTTCGGTCACTCTCTTCCACGTCTATACAGCCCTCCTCGTCCCTCCGGCTCTGGCTCAACCCACTTATTCTAAAAGTCCTTCCGTCATTAAAACAGGACACTTGACGTGCACAGTTTCAAAGGACTTTCAAACAACTGGTTTGAAACCTCCTCCTGGTCTCCCATGTGGGTGCAGGGTCCCAAGGCTTTGGGCCGTCTTCGACTGCTTTCCCAGGCCACAAGCAGGGAACTGGATGTGAAGGGGGGCTGCTGGGATTAGAACCGGCGCCCATTTGGGATCCTGGCACATTCAAGGCGAGGACTTTAGCCGCTAGGCCACCGGACCAAACATAAAGAAACCTTTACGTTTCTTTGTATGCTGCTCCCTAGTGGCAGCTCTGGGTATAGGTGTGTGTGAGATTTTTAACGGAAATGATCTATTTAAAAGCCTGGGACCTTTAGTTCTTTTTGAATGACTGTGTGCTATCCTAGTACTAGAGAGAAAACATTGGGTTACATGGACTAGGGACAGAGAGAAGAGGGCGGAGCAGGGCCCCCTGCTCCCAGCTAACAAGCTCTACACAGAAACAAAGTACTTAAGGTTTGGGATGAGGAAGAAAGTGTTTAAGGAACAATCTCTAGCTTCCTGTAAATGAGACATGAGCCCAGTCTTTGAGGTAGCTCTTGAGTTAGGGTTTGCTTCTGCAAAGCCAAGGCCCTTCTTAACGGAGCTGACTTCTCAGTCAAAGCTGGTGTAAGGGGTTGGAGGGGTGTTTAGTTACCTCCACCACGGACTGGCTGCCATCTGGATTGATCCTGAAAGATCCCATCTGAATGGTCTTCTTGGGATCTACCTGGGCAATCTCCCACTCCAGTTCATCCACCAGAGCCCTGCAGGCTGGGGTTGGAGGACAAAGGGGTGGTGGCAAATGCCATTACTCATTTTTCTCCAGGGCCCTGCCCTGATGCCACTTCCTCCCTCCCCTCCGCCCCCCAGCTGTTTACCGCCACAGTGTAGGTCCTGACTTCTCCGAGCCCAGGCAGCTCCTAGCAGGGTCCCAAGAAGCAGGGCCAGCCAACCCCAGCCTTTCATCTTTAACGCAGTGGGGCCGCTCCACCTGCATTTGGGTAAACACAAAAACACAAACTGAGGCCCCCCCCGACTCCATTCTTCATCTCCCATCCCAAGGCCTTGGGAAGGTTCAGCGCGGCTGCCACTTTCCAGGAAACGGGACACAAAGGGGCTCCTGTGCGGTCGGCGCTAGAAGGCTGGTTCCCTGGGAGCTCAGGACTGGGGGCGCAGTCCCCAGGCGCTACGTCGACAGGTGAACCCCCAGATGTGGCCACTTAAGCCCTGGGGGACAAAGGTTCACAGGGCGATGTGGCAGCTACGGGACGGGGGCTGGCGACACTGATCAGGCAGGCACGGGGAAGCTTGCCGGCCAGGGGCCTGCGGTCAGGCTAGGCCGCCGAGGAGAGCGCTCAATACCCCGGGGCCTGCTTGGATGCAGCACAGATGCCGCCTGCATGCCCACCTCCCAGCAGCACGTGAAGGGGCTGCCCCGGGCGGACCAGCCCCTTCCTTAGGGCTCCACCAGGGCTTTCACTCCGGTCCATCCCCCAACCCTCGGGGCCGAGCGCCTCCTCCGTCCGCATGCGTCCCACCTCTGCTCCCGGGGCCGCCGCCGTGGCCCAGGCGCTGCAAAACCGCCGGACTCTCACTTTGGCTTCGGTGGCTCGTAAGCCTCGCACCTGGCTGAGGGGGGAGCGGGGCTGTCCGCGTTCCTCCAGAGCGCGTCGGTGCTTTCGAAGACACGGAGGGGTGTCCCTGCCGCCGCCTGACCCGAGTCGCTGCACCCTACCCGAGCGCCTTGGCAGGGCTCAAGTGCGCCTCCAGGTGAGCCCCCCGCCACGGAGCGACCCCAGGCTCGCCCAGGCAAACTCTCGCGCGAACAGGCAAAAACGTAGGAAAGGCACAGAGGCGGCGAGGACCCAGACTGCAGAAGGACCCAGACTTGCGTGGCGGACAGCTCCACGTGACCACCAGGGGTTAGCCGAAGGAGTGGCCTGCGGCGCGGACAGAGCCAGTGTAGTAAGGCGCCAGCGTGTGCATCATTGTAGGTGGGCTAGGGTGTTCAAAAAGCTGTGCTGCCAGCCGGCCACGTCTCGAAACTACATCTCCCAGCACACACTGCAGCGCCGGCTGACCTTTGTCCGCAGCTGCTGAGCTTAGGATGTGCTGGGAACTGTAGTTTTTTCGTTTGCATGTTAATAAGGAAACCATGCTATGTATTTCCAGCAATCTGATCTTAGGGGGGCTACGAATCCACAGCAGAGACCCAGTAGCACCCAGGAAGGAACAGTTAGACTCCTTGCAGATCCTAACTTTAGACTCCAAAGTTTTATCCACAGTCCCAGATGGAGACTGAAAACTTTGTTTTTCCCATTGTTAATAAGAAGCTTCAGTTGCAGAACCAAAACAAAAGCATTTCTCTCATGAGACATGATTACACAATATTTTCATTTTTTATTTTATAAAACATGCGGTTTAAGACAGAATATTAAAAAAATAACACACACTTGAGACAGGAAGTAGATGGAAGACAGATGCTTGCCTGCTGTTGGCAGGAATGAGGCCAGCAGCTGACCTTGGTCTGGGATAAGAAATCCCTTTTGGCAATGGTATTGGCAACTCTTGTTTTCTTGGTTCACACAGGTTCAACATGCTGGTCTGTCCGAGGCATCCCTCGGGCGGTTGAAGACTTGAGCTCAGTCGGCAGCTGCTATTATATCCCCTTGTCCCTGTCTGGTACCTCAGTCCCTAGCCAGCTAGGAGCTGACAACTCAGTACCCGGTGTATCAAGACTCGGTATCTGCCCACTGTTTCAGAAAGGGTAAAGCAGGAACCCGATTCCTAGAACCCCTGCAATGCTTCTGCTGCATTCCGGCTCTGTGAATGAATAGCACCATCTGCGGACCCTGAGCAGATCCGGTTCTGGAAGCGGACAGGGTAGAACCAGCCCTGGAGGCCATCTCCCAGTTCTGGAGCCAGAGGAAGCTGACAGGAGAGGGCAGGTCAGAGTGCCAGCACGGAGGAGAAGACAGCTGCTGCATCTGCCAGAGACAAAACCAAGGGCAGGACTGTTCAGTCAGGGGACACACACCTGGACACTCCCGTGGAGGAAAAAACAGCAGAGAAGAGAGCGTGGCCCGTCCCCAACATTTTAGAACTAACCTGAGGAGGATAACAGGACTAACGGAGAAACTCAGCAATAATAAGTGAGTCTCATTGGCAGTTGTGCTGACCACGTTAGAGACATGAGGCGAGAGGTAAGGCTGGTCTTGTCTTGTTACCAGTGTTTATCATTATTACTGTGGTGGCTCGCCTAACCTCCCTCCGTGCCTGCATTCAGCCCCAGCCCAGCACAGTTCCCTGGCCTGGCCTTACTCTTGGGACTCGTCTGGCCCTCGGGCTCGGGCACCTTCCAGTCCATCTTCCGGCCCTTCTCATAAAGGGCCTTGAGCACCTTGTGGAAGGACTCGGGCTCGGTGCCGTTCTTGCTCAGCTCCAGATACTTGCGGTAGAGCTGCAGGGCTGTGCGGGCATCCTCGATGCTGTCATGGGTCTCCCCTTGAATCTTCAGGTCTAGGGGTAGGCAGAGGTAGGGCAGGGTGGGACTTAGCAAAGGGAGGCAGAACATAGCACTCCCCTACCCCTCCCTCCCTCCCATCACTCAAAGACATCAAGAGATTACCCACAGAGAAAGAGTCGGACACCTTCCCTAGTACAAAGGGGACACTGATGCAAATTTAAAAATCCCACGTTGGGGCCAGTGCCACGGTATAGCGGATTATGCTGCTGCCTGCAGCGCCACTGGTGGCAGCTTGAGTCCTGGCTGCTCCACTTCAACCCAGCTCCCTGTTAACGTTTCTGGGAAAGCAGTAGACCCTGCTCCCATGTGGGAGGCGCTAAGAAGCTCCTGGTCCTGGCTTCAGCCTGGCCCAGCTCCGTCTGTTCAGGCAATCTGAGGAGTGAGCCAATGGATCAAAGACTTCTCTATTTCCCTCTCATTGTCACTCTGCCTTTCCAATAATAATAATAAAAAAACTCATCAAAAAAGTATCTAACTATTCTAAAAAAACCCAACCCCCTTTAGGTATGGACTTCTGCAGCATTATCATGCACGCACGGCCCCTGTCCTTAGCCCAGTATTGCCAGGCCCAGGAACATAGGCAGTGCAGAAGGGGCCACCACGATCTCTGCAGAGCTGATCCCTCTGTGAGGAGTACATTCTCTCTTGGATTGCAGAGATCTCTAAGTATCTACTCTAACAGTTTTCTTAAAGAAAAAATAAACAATTTCTACAACACAGTTTAAAGTCTTTTTAAATTAAGATCTTGCTTGGAAAGATCATTAGGGGCCTGGTGCAGTAGCCTAGTGGCTAAAGTCCTCGCCTTGAATGTGCCAGGATCTCATATGGGCGCCTGGGTGCCAGTTCTAATCCCGGCAGCCCCTCTTCCCATCCAGCTCCCTGCTTGTGGTTTGGGAAAGCAGTCAGGATGGCTTAAGGCTTTGTGACCCTGCACCCAGATGGGAGACTAGGAAGAGTCTCCTAGCTCCTGGCTTTGGATTAGCTCAGCTCTGGCCATGTGGCTGTTTGGGGAATCATCGCATAGAAGATCTTTCTCTCTGTCTTTCCTCCTCTCTGTATATCTGACATTGCAATAAAAGTAAAAATAAATCTTTAAAAAAAAAAAAAAAAAAGGATCAGTAGGATATCACCAATATGACCCAGCAAGAACTGTCAGTTCATTTTTCCTTCTTTTCTAACTGGGTAGAATACCCAATACAAAAATAGCCAATATTTTACAGGGTTGAATTACAAATTAAAAGATTATGAATGTATTCCTATTTTTCTATATTGAATGAACAAAGTAACATGGCCATAATGTAAATAAAAATGGTGCAACCAGTTTAAAAAAAAAAAACAGTATTCAAGATATTTATTGCATTTATTTAAAATCCCTTGGTAATTCTCACTATGAATTCAGGGACCCTGCCACTGCCCTGGGACCCTGCAGCAGTCTGAATGAGCACCAGGGCTGTCCATGAGACAGTGACTCACCCAGAAAGTACCAGGCAAGGAATCGCAGAGAAATCATTCGTTTCCGGGGCATGTGGAATAGGTACACAGTGTCCAGTACTTGGTCCTTGGGTACCTGGCAGGAACAAAACAGTGGGACACTCAAGGTCTCATTTCCCATTCACTTAAAGCTCAGTATGTTCCCTGAGGGGCCCTCCAAAAGGATTCTGAAAAGAGACCCCTGTCCGAACCATGAGGTTGATGACCCTGAAATCCTTCTGCAGTCCGTGGCCCACGAACTTGACACCAATGTCAATGAGGAATCGCAGCTTTAGGTAGGTAGACTTGAGGGTGGTGAGGTGCTTGGAGGAGATTTTGGCATCCAGGTCTCCTGGCTTGATCCCCGAGTACTGAGTCAAGTAATCCACCACCTAGGGATGGAGGACAGGACATGTCACCTAGGAGTTAAGGTGCAGTCCCCTCCCCTCACACACCCATAGGTACAGGTCTGCCTTCCTTGTACATCCCCAGGATGTTACCTGCTCCTGGGTAGAGATGTAGTCATCGATGAAGGGGATACCCTCATTTGGTCCCTGGCCCCGAACACAGGTGATCCTTGCGACAGACATGTGGCTTGGTTTAATGGTGGACTTGGTACCATCGCTGCGTAATTCTGCTTCTTCCTGCATGAAAAGGAGAGGTGATAAAGAAACCAGAGAAATGCTAACTAACAGTTCCTAGCATCCTCAGAGTTCTGTTCCAGTGTGTTAACTTTTTTGGTCTTGGTTACCTCATTGAGGGTGACAAACTCAGCATCGAGGCCCACCAGGTCTCCAACCTGGGGCATCTCATTCAGCATCAATGGGATGAAGGTCGTGTGTGTTTTCCGCTGCTTCCGGGCCAGTGAGGCTTCCGCCAGCAGGACGCTGGCCTCAATTGGGTTCTTTACTGTGAGGGAGAATGGACAGGACAGAGGGCTGGACCATGGAAGGGACCAGGGCAGAGAAGGCCTAGGTGGCTGACTCTGGTTCTACACTGTGATCCCTTCATAATAAACGCATGTGAATGCAAGGGTTATATCTGATGAGCAGAGTAGGGCTCATCAGAAAATTAGGAACAAACAATGACACACATTTGGTGGAGCCCTCTAGGAATGCCTGGGTCTGTTTCAGTCCCTAGTTCCGGTGTCCTGCTGGGGCTGACTCGAGAAAGGGGCACACTCCAGAAAGGGTCCCTGATCGCCTACATGGGAGTCCTGGATTGAGTTCTTGCATCAAGGGCAAATGGGGAGAGGGGCCTGTCTCTGTGTCTCTCAAACAAACTAATTTTTGAAAGAAATATGCTTAACAATTTAGACAACATACAAGAACAAGACTTGCACTTGGATTTTTGCCTATTTGAAAAATCTAGAAAAACCTGCAACAGAAATTATGATTTCAAGCTACCAAATGAGGGACTTAATAAGGAGCATATCTCCAAAAGGAGAGAATTTCACTTGGATATAAAAATGGTTAGAGTCCATATAATAACCTACATCGTTCCCATCACACTTTTCCACCTTCAGGACCTCCAGCTTCTGAACGTCAGATCTGGGGCAAGCAGTGAGGCAGCCAAATAGGATGCCTGCCTCTCGTAACAGAGTATTTGGGTTTGCTGCCTGGCTCAGGATGATGTCAGCTTTATGCTGGTGCAGTAGCCATGCAGGAAATCTGGACTGAGTTCTCTGCTCCTGGCCCTGGCCATTGTGGTCATTTGGGGGATGAATTAGCAGAAGGCAACTGTCATTCTTTGCCTCTCAAATAAATGAATAAACAACATCAAAAAATTTTTTTCATGCTTAAAATACTAAACAGAAATTTCTTTCCTATGCCCAGAAATATTAACGCTGGCTATCAATGCAAAATACTAACCCAGATCTCTTCCTAAAAAGTACAATTTAAACCGACCACTGGGTCTTGCCACTTACTGTTCAGATTGTATCTGGAGTTGAGATTTCTTTTGACGTAATAAAGGATAGCAGGTACTTTCCAATTCATGTCAAACTGAACAGCTTCATGCTGTGAAAGAGAAAAAGCACTCCTGGCTTGTGTGTTTTCCCCATCCCCTATGCCTTTTCCCCAAGCAGACAGCCCAAGACTGAGGTGCTATATTTCTAACCCTGCCAGGACTTCTTTCATTCCTGAAGACCCTACCCTATACAGTCAGCCTGGCTTTTTTCTTTTTCCTTTTTTTTAAATAAGATTCATTTATTTTAATTCGAAAGGCAGATTTACAGAAAGGAGACACAGAGAGAAAGATCTTCTATCTGCTGATTCACTCTCCAGATGGCTACAACAGCTAGAGCTAAGCTGATCTGAAGCCAACAGCCAGAGCTTCTTCCAGGCTCTCACATGAGTACAGGGTCTCAAGGCTTTGGTTCATCCTCTACTGCTTTCCCAGGCCATAAGCAGGGAGCTGGACTGGAGGTGGAGCAGCAGGGAGATGAGCCAGTGCTCATATGGGATCCTGGTACTTGCAAGTGGAAGATTAGCCAGTTGAGCCATCATGGCAGCCACAATCGACCTGGCTTTTTTTAAGAGTCCTAAGGATGAGGATGCTGGGGAAGGGGGGGAGAAAAGGTGGAAAAAAGGTGCTGTAACTAACCTTATCAATTGGTTCAATAAGAAAGTCATTGAAGAGATACCACTGCTGGTGAGTAACTCCCTGTGGAGATCCAGAGAAAGACAGACGTCAGGACCATCATGTCAGACCTAGCCAGAGACCTGGGTGGGGCTCCACTGTGGCCATCCCCAGGGATGTCCCTACCCTGGTCCCCCTCACTCACCTCCTTGCGCTGGTGGTAGGTCTCTCCCACTTTGATATGAGCCACCAAACTGCCCCCTGGGCGCGAGTCCAGGATGTGGACCACAGTAGCCATCAGGTCATAGACACAGACACCGTGTTCCTCCTCTGCTCTGGCTGGGCCCCACTGTGAGGGGGGCACCCGGGCTGCTAAGCTAGGTTTAAGGATGGTGAAGGAAGGGGAATGGGGACGGAGGCTGGAGGGTAGGGGGCTAGGGGATAGGGAGCCAGGACGGGTTATCTCCTTTCTATCTGACTCCCATTGCTGAAGGAGCTGCTCTGGAAAAGCTCACAGATGTAATTACGAGCCTTCTTCCCCTCTTCTTCCCTTACTGAATGCCACCGTTTCCCATTCTGCTTCACTTTCTGTCCCACCTCCGAACCCTCATTTCTGTCCCTTACCCTCCTTACCCCCAGTTTTTCAACAACCTGCATGTCATCCCCATCAGTCCAATTGCAAACATCCAGCCCTTTGTTCTTGGTCATCTTCATGCGAATGGAGAAAGGCAGCCAGACATTCTTGAGCTCCTCGATGGAGGGACACAGCAGCACCCCTTCAGGACTCCCTACCTCCCTCCTGTGGGGACAAAGGTACTGTAGACGTGTCCTGAAGAGACCCAGTGGGTGACAAGGGCAGTCACTGGCATAGCCCATCTTCTGAACCACAAGACAGTACCTACCGGTCAGCTAGGGCGAACTCCTTGCTCTTGGAGAGTTCGCCACCGTGCTTCTTGATGGCCATCTTGAAGGCAACCTGAACCCAAAGGAAAACACATCTGACTGTTGGGGGAACATAGATGAGGAGGGAGAAAGCAGAAAGGACTCTCTAAGAAAGTCCCATTCCCAGCACTGGTCCTCACCTCAGCCTGCACTCTCCAGAAATCTGCTTCTTTGGAGCTGTTGACCTCACAGTTGATGACAAGAATATCTGGCAGGTGGCGGATGTTGCGGGTCTGAATCTGAGAGGACAAAACAAACAAGGAATCCTACAGGGAAAAGAACCCTGCACGGGACCGGCAAACCTGGGCATGCTGCCCTAGACGTGGGAACCCCCTCTGCCTCCCAGGTCCCAAGAGATGCCCTGGGTGGCAGTGCTGACGCAGCCAGCCCTGGATGAGCATGTAGCTAGGTCTCTTGTGTGGTGGGGCAAGTCTGGTGCCAGAGTCTGCTCACCGTGGGCTGGTACTTCTCACAGTTGTCACACCAGGCCTGCGTGTTCTGCTCCAGGCAGATGCTGCGCTTCAGCACCTGTGCAAAGTCGTAGTTCTTCCCACTTTTATCTGAGGAGAGACGGGTGCTTCATTCCAGGCTCTCTTCGCTACCCCAATTAACCACCTACCCCACCAGGCATTGCTCCCTCCCAGGAGGTTCCCGGCTGCAGGGGAGACCCCCGTGGTGGTTACCCTCGGGGTAGGAGAGTGTGAAGAGCAGTGTGGATGAGGAGCGCACGGTCTCACTGCCACAGCGGCACAGACTGCAGTTCTCCATCTCGCAGCTGAACAACTGCCCAATGACAGAGTCCCCCGATGAGCAAAAGCTGCTAAGAGTGGGGAGGGTGAAAGAGGCACACGGAGGGTGCTGGAGACCCACACTGAGGTGCAAGGGGGCTTGTCACAGTTGTCCAGACCGGGCCTGCCCTGATCCCGTACCTGCCTCCAGCACCACGGTATGCTTGGGGCACTTCCAGTTCCTGCATATCTTGATGGAGCTGGGTGAGAATGAAGCGATTCCACCTCTGGATGAGTCGGGCCAGGTTGCCCTTGCCTGAAGCCTCATCTGAGTCAGCCAGGATCAGACCGAGGGCTGAGGCCTCGGGAATGGTGCGGAATGCTCGAAGAAAATTACTGCCCTGCAAGCAGGTTGGAAGCAAAGGGGTCATTTTCTCTTTGGGGCTGGCAAGGAGCAGCGGCACTGTAGTACCCCAGCCTGCTGTCCACCTGCCCTCTTTCCTTTTAAAGTGCCCCAGGTGTTGAGGCACTCACCTGGCAAGGATCACCTCGAGAGAGGTCTAGCATATGGAAGAGGAAGCCCAGCTCACATGCCAAGCAGAACTCCTTCTGGCAAAGGTGGTTCTGGATGAGACAGCGCACAGGCTCCAGGAAATAGAGCACCTGTGTGGAGAGCAGAACTGGTGCTGCCGGAGCAGTGGAGAGATGACGGGGGTTGATGGAGAATAGAGGGGAGGAGGAGGACACACGGAAGTGACAGGGGCTAATAGAGAATACAGATGAGAGGAGAGACATGGAGGTGATGGGAGCTAATGGAGAATATGGAATGGGGGCCAGCCCCAAGCAGCAGAGCTCAGAGCAGATTTGAAGGTCATGGGGCAAGAAAGAAGGGGGAAAGGCGGCCGGGAGAAGCAGGCTGGGCTGGGAAAAGAAAAAGAAGGGCTCGGGGGGGTTGGGAGGGGAGAGGGCCAGGGAAGCAAGCAAGGGCAGTGAGTCCAGTTGACCATGACAATACCAACCCTCACCTGGATCATGCAGTTGCAGTAGGCATTGGGGATGTGAGGCTCTAACCCAGCAAACAGAGTCTTATTGTAGTGTTTGAAGTCAAAGTCTTCCAGCCCCAGCTTGGAATATTTGATGGTCACCTGAGATAGACATGGTCTGAGTAGGGACGAGGAGGTCCTAAGAGTGCCCAAGTCTCCCCAGTGGCCACAGCCTTGCCCACAATCTCCCTCCCTGACCCGGGGAGATGGATGAAGGCCTCTGAATGAGTCTTTTGGTCTTTTCACAAGGGGCTTCCCTCCCAGGGCACCTGCCATGGGGTCCCGTGGCACCTTGCGGTATTTCTTAGAGACCATGTGCAGGTGTGGCTCTTCTTCCCGGCCTATTGGTGACTCGGTGACCTGACTGAAGTTGTCAAATTCACTGTCTGACTCCTTGAGTCGATAAGGAATCTTGAGTTTGAAAAAAAAAAAAGAGAAGGGTTATTCACGTTGGAGTTTTTTTTTTTTTTTTTTTTTTTTTTATTGTTGCTTACACTGTATTATGTAGTACAGTTTTATAGGCGCTGGGGATTCCCCCCACCCCTCCCCATATCCCTCCCCCCATGGTGGATTCCTCCACCTTGCTGCTTAACCATAGTTCAAGTTCAGTTGAGATTCATTGCTTGCAAACACATGCCTAGCATAAAGTTCAGTGTCTTATTGTCCAGATAAGTTCAGTGGCCTCCTGGGGAGACCTTCTATGGTCTGAAGATAGGTCTAACAGAGTAAAGATCCGGTCAGTTAAAAGCCCCAACAAGGCCTCAGTATCAATATACAACATTATGGAATTAATTGACATAGTATTGGGTAAACAATATGTTAAAAATAATGCAAGTTCCATTCTTCGAAACATCTGGGTTGAGAGAGTTTTTGTTTTTGTTTTTTTTTTTGCCTTGTCTTGGCGCTTGAAGATAGAACAGATAGAACCGCAGATGGGAAGCAGCCGGCACTGAAGACATGACACAGAGGGGATCACGGCCCTTTTCCTCTGTCTCCATGCATAATGGGAGTGGCACTTTATGCCTGGTCCCCGCCAAGAAAAGGAGGGTCCCCAAGCCTTACCCAAAAACAAACAGCCCAAACAGAGGCAAATTTACTTCTTCACTGCCCTCCCTCATGTTGGAGTCTTAACCTCTTTGCCTTCTCCTTCACCTTTATTTCAAAACTGAAATAAGTCACTAGGTCCTAAGTTACCTCTTTTCATGGCATTCTGTCTGCTTTATTATTTATTCATTTATTTTTTTAAGATTTGAGAGCCAGAAACAGAGTTAGAGAATGCCCATCCAGATTCATCCCCCAAATGTTCATTATGACCAGTACTAGACCCCAGGGAATCAGGGCCAGGAGCCAGGAACTCAGCCCAGGTCTCTCATATGCATGGCAAAAACCCAGTTACTTGCACAATCCCAGTGCCTCCTGGGGCTGTGTTATCAGGAGGCCAGAGTTGGACACCAGAGCCTCAGCTTCTAGGATAAGCATCTACTCCAGAGCTGGGAACTGAACTCAAGCCCCCCGAGGTGAGACGCAAGCACCTCAGCTGCTATGCTAAGTGTCTACTCCATAGCCTCCTTTTTCTCCCCAGTGCCACTTCTGTTTCATCACAGCTGGCCAAGTGTAACAGCTTCTGTGCTGTGTTCACTCCATCTAGCTCACCACTACCATTGCTTGTTGAGCTGCCCACTAGATGCCAATCATTGTTGTAAGGCATAAGCTTGCAATGAGCAGCAAACATACAAAAAGACACATGTAGCATCAGCAGAAGTAGATCTGTGCTCAAGACAAATACTGTGCAGTTAGGGAGTTGAGATAGGAGGGGTGGGAAATGATACTCTTTCACATCAGGAAACGCCTCCCACAATGCTGCTCCCCTAGCATCACATCTACCACACGTGGTGTTCCCAGCTTCCCAGCAGGCTCTCTCTAACCGTCAATCTCTTGGTGTCTCAATGTCAAGTTTGCTGCAGCCAGGCTGGTGTCCTCAGCCATGCCTTCTGCATTTATGCCTCTTACAACTTGACTGACCATGGCTGTCTTGTGCCTGTTCCAGCTCGGTATCCACCTTCTCCAAGGTGCCTTCTCGCGATCTTCCCAGGCCTGAGTAACAATTTCCCTCCAGGCATCTCTGGCACTGAATGTTTGCTTAGAACATTCTTTTAGCATTCAACAGTAGCATGGAAATCACTGCTGCTCTAGTTCTGCTTCACCAACCAAGCACTAAGCTTTCTAAGAGCTGGAACTGCATTTTCTAAGCCTCTGCTTCCTCCCTAACACCCACTGCTGCTGCTTTAGTTCTGTATAGGCCCCCAAAGGCCTTTACCCATTATCTAAAAGCAGGAGACTAGCAAAGGACAAGGAAGACATGCCAGCAGGCTGCGGTGGGGCCGATACTGTCCCCTCTGCACACACCTGATTGCGCAGCCTGGTACGGGGGTTGGGGGCGTAGCCAATAAAACCCACTTTCTTCATGGTGCGCAGGATTTCTGCATCCACGGGGGGAGCTCGCCTGTAATCACAATCCAGTATACTTCTGGGGGTTTAAAGAATCACACTGTCCACCCATTCACTCCCAACCCCAAGGCTCTAGAAAAAACAGAAAACCCTGAAGGGAAACACTAAGCAGGGAGGGAGGGAGGAGGGTAATATCAGGACTGGTGGAAAATCTGGGCAGCTCAGTCCCATCCCTCCTCCCGCCCCTGCCCTCTAGGCCTTCATGGGAGGTGCAACCTGGGGGCTGGTGCGGAGTTGGCAGCAGGCCAGTCGGAAAGGAGTGTGTCCGTGGTGAGGGGCACCGGGATGAGGGAGAGGGGCAGCAGGTCCTGGCTCCAGTCCAGGGGAGGCAGCGAGGAGTCTACGAGGCAGGGCAGGGCGAACTCCGTCTCCCGAGAATAGGGGTTGAAGGAGGGCTCGGGGGAGTCGGTCCAGAGATGCACACAGCCCTCAGAGTCCCCAAAGGCCAGGGCCTGCTTGCTGGCTGACACGTCAACTGTCATGAGCAGAGGGCCCACAGGATTCACGTGAAAGATATCTGCGGGGTTGGCCAGGCCGGTAGGCTCACAAAACTGGCACTGCCCTAAGAGGGAAGAAAGAGCTCAGTAAGTGCTGGGGCATGAAAGGAGCCCTCCTTTTACGCCCTCCCTACCCAGGTGCCCTGACACCAAGGCTAGAGGCATCCCAAGCCCCATCTAGAGACACAGAGTCTAGAGACTCCTTTGCATAGACCAGCGGGTGGCTTCCTAACCAGCAGAGTGCCATTCTGAGAGGAAATCTGTCTGTCCCTATCTCTCCTGTGTTCTTCACCCCCATGGAAAAAATAAAAGCTCTAATCTTTGTCCAAACCACAGTGAGACCATGGGACCCAATGGAAGGTTACTTCTTCCCCACACAGAGAGGTTTCTGGGAAACTGCTTGTCCTGGTAACAACCACTCCCTGGCTTGCAGACCTCTCCCACCAAGGCTGACAGCCCCTGCATACCTGACTGCGAGATGATGGCGAGACGGGAAGTATACGTGGGGATGAAGCGTAAGAAGGCAGGATCCACGTGCACCTGGAGCGGTGTAATGGCACGCATCATGCGCAAGTCGTACACCTTGAGGAAACGGTCGCAGGCCAGGCCAGTGAGGCGGCTGGAGAAGCCACAGGCGGCCAGCAGATTGCCATGCACATCAAAATCTGACAGACTCCCTGAGAAGGCATCGAACTCGTGTTCCACCTTAAATGTGCGCAGGTCCCGCAGGGAAATCTAAAGAAGAGACAGCAGGTCTGTTACCTGCAACCTGCTTAAGCCTGGGAGGCCCTGGCCAGTGGGACCAATGGTACTAGGACATGGCCAGGGAGAACACAGAAGCAGCAGATGAAGAAGCCAGAGAGAGATGTCCATGAGCAATCATGGTCATCCTCCGGCCCCACGGGACACTGAGTCATGGCAGAAAATACAAGGCAGTGCAACGACCATACACTCTCACATCACTGAGCAGGAAGTGACCTCACTCTCCTTGCCACTCTCCTCCCCCTCCCCCGCAAGGCTCTCTCCCCACAGCTGGGATGGCAGGAGAGCAGAAGCCTATGGAACACCTGGGGAAACAGGGCACTGTGGGGAGAAGACCTTGCCCGATGTGTGGCCACAGAAGAAGAAGCGATTCGTCTGTCTCATGACTGTGACTCCAGGTGTCTCAACGGCGTACTGGAGGGGGAAGCAGGACAGACCAATGGGATGGAGGGACTTGCCTACAGACCCAGGGAACTGAAAGTTCACGGCCCCCACCCTTGCTGGCCTCCCTACGTGGGCTGCGCCTGCCCCAGGCCTCTACCTTCTGAGTTTCCTGTACGGTGTTGAGATCCATCTCCAGAATGTGGCTCTGCAGCCCACCGATGAGGAGCGTGCTGCTGTCGGTCAGCAGCAGACTGTGCATGTCCTCGCTCTCATCCAGCCTGGGTAGGGGTAAGGAGGACGGCAGGGGCAGCTAAGGGACCAAAGCCTCCCACGGGGCTGCCGGGCCCAAGCCTTCCCATCCCGTGAAGGAAGTTTTCCTCTTTTCCAGTCCAGAACGAAAAGAGACACTCACAGATAATCAAATATGATGAGCCCCCCACGGGCCATGTACTTGAGGTTGTTCTTGGTGAGAAAAAGGATACCATTCTCCAGACTCTGAATCTGCCGGATGTCATCGCTGCCATTGACCTGAAAGGATGAGTAGCGCTCCAAGGCTGGGCCAAAGAATGAGGTGGCGTGACCCTGGAAGGAGAAAGAGACGACAGGTGCACAATAGCACGGGTGCAGGGAAATCCCAATGCAGGCCAGGAACTGGGTATCACTCAACTTTCCTCCTCTCTGGCCTGGCCTTTCTGGCAAGGGGCAACTCCCACATAAAGCACAGGACCAGTCATCTGTGCAATCAAGAAACTGCTAATACTGTTGCATATTTAACATATTACAAAATACACTTGGAAATTCTCTAATTAATCCTGCAGTGAACCTGCAAATGGATAATGGCTTAGTTGGTTAGGAGAGTGTCCAGAAAGTCAGGAACGTGATTCCCAATCGCCCAACATCCAGTTGGCTTCCTGATGTGCCACGTTTACTCACTACTAGTCAGGCAAGGGGTGCTTGAGGCACAGGCTGGAAAACACCAAGGTGAAAGTCATTCTCCCTCTCATGTCTACGAGGTCACTCACTCCTGGTTTCTCCCGCAACTCTGAGTTCCTATCTTGTCCTCCAGTGCTCTCTTCCCTTCTGACTATTCTCGAAAAACACAGCAGTTCCCTCAGCCTGCTGTCTTTTCATTCTACTTGGGTTCCTGGCAATCTCCACACCCAAGGTTTAAGGCCCACATCTTGAAGGTCACAGATCCTTACTTCGTTCTCTAACTCAGTTTCAGACTTCCACGTCCAAATGCCCACTGAACATCTCTCTTTGGACAGCCCGTGAGAACCTCAACTTCATTACATTCTAAATGAAACCCGCTACTCTGACCCCATTTCTCTAGTGTATTCTCTAGATTGCCTACTCCACTCAGTTGACTAAACTATATACTTGTAGTCAAGTCCAGTTTATCTCATGCCCTGAATAATTCTCAAATGTTTACAATGCTTTCTTCCGGCCTTTGTCTTATTTTTTTGGAGGGGGGAGCAGGTGCAACGGAGAGGTCTCCCATCTGCTTGTTCACTCTGAGAATACCTGTAACAGTCAGTGCTGGGTTGGGCTGGGCTAAGGCCAGGAGCTAGGAGTTTCAAGTCTCCCAAGTGGGTGGCAGGGAATCAATATTTCAGCGATCATTTGCTGCTCCCCCTGGGGTACGCATTAGCAGGAAGTTGGATTTGAAGTAAAAGCAGGACTGGACCCCAGGCACTTCAATACAGGATGTGGGAGTCCCAAGCGACACCTTAACCTGCCGGGACACAATACCCACCTCACCCCCTTCATCGCATTATAGGTGAGCTGCCTGAACTGCTGCAAAAGCCTGTGAACTCACCGTCCTGCTCCCTCCTCTTTAGCCTCTCCAGCTACTGCAGCATTCCACCCAGAGGCAAGCCATGCCTTGTCCTTCCAGATAAAAATCTGAGATGACCAAGTCTAAGCTCTGTACAGAGCACACAGATCCCTAGAAGGTTCTCCCCTCTAGGGATCTACAAGCTTTTCCCTTGAGAGCCTGGAATGGTCATTTGGTCTGGATCCAGTTTTCTATTTAAAGTGATTCTATTGAGAGGCATTTCCTGATGTGAAAGAGTATCATCTCCCACCCCTCCTATCTCAACTCCCTAACTGCACAGTATTTGTCTTGAGCACAGATCAACTTCTGCTGATACTATATGTGTCTTTTTGTATGTTTGCTGCTCATTGCAAGCTTATGCCTTACAGCAATGATTGGCATCCAGTGGGCAGCTCAACAAGCAATGGTTGAGCTTTTAGCTCTTTAGCTTCAAGTCTAGTAAATTCTACTTGCCTATACCTCCTGCGCTTGGTACTCATCACATTGTCATATCTTGGGAGTCTATTCATCCTTTTCCTGCCTCCTTCCCTTAATTCCTATTCTTTCAAAACTCAGCTCAGGCACCACTTTGGGAAGTGAAGTCAGGCCACTCTCTGACCCAGCATCTGGTGATGTGGGTCTATCTGCTTGGGTGTTTTTCCCCCTGCCTGTCTTGTAAACACCTCAAGGGAAAGGATTTTGTTTTATTCAGCTTTATTCTTTGTACCTAGATGTTGTCTACTGAACTTTTCTGTATGTCACATAGAAAAAAATCCCTTTTTTTCTTTAAAAGATTTACTTTAAAAAAAAAATCTACTTATTTTTATTGAAAAGTCAGATTTGGGACTGGCATGGTAGCCTAGCGGCTAAAATATTTGCCTTGGAAGTGCCAGGATCCCATATGGGCGACAGCTGTAATCTCAGCAGCCCTGCTTCCCATCCAGCTCCCTGCTTGTGGCCTGGGAAAGCAATTAAAGACGGCCAAAAGCCTTGGTACCTGCACCCGCGTGGGAGACCCAGAGGAGCTCCTGGCTCCTGGCTTCGGATTGTCTCAATTCCGGCCATTGTGGCCACTTGGGAAGTAAATCATTGGATGGAATATCTTCCTCTCTGTCTCTCCTCCTCTCTGTATATCTGACTTTCCAATAAAAATAAATAAATCGTAAAAAAAAAAAAAGGTCAGATTTAGAGATTAGACAATGTAGGACACCTTCTGAGAGAGAGCACCTGTGTAACGCCTTGCTGGGCCCTCTGTGGGGTGCAAGTAGCAACCCAGCCACAGAATGCTCATCCCTCTGCTCACTCCCAGCTCTTGGCCCAGCAGCTACCCTGGGTCTACGACCAGAGACTTCCGACCACACCGGTGTCCTTACCCCATGGCTCCCCACCCACAGCATCTCCTCGTGCAAGTCAAAGTGGGAGACGGAGACAGGCACGCCCACTTCAGCCACCACGCTGTGCAGTTCCGAGTAGACACCTTCCATGATGTGCATGGACTCCTGCACAGGGAGCGTCTCCAGGGCCACTCCCTCGGCGTCCAGCTCCACATTCTGCAGCAGACTTGGGTTCAGGTGGGCATCCAGGACAGGATCCAGGGTGGAATGCATGGCCGGGGCATACTCTGCCAACCCAGGGTCCAGACCCTCAAAGTTCATGATGCAGGCGGCCCACAAGCCCCGGCTCACACCCTTCCCTGGCCACTAGATTAGATGCAATCTTCAGCAGCCCAGCGTCAGTGGGCCTCGAGTGGACATTCTGGCCTGTGAAGGGAAGAGAGGGAGCCAACTCAGGGGCAGACCTGGGTCCTAGGTAGGCAGAAGGAATGAGATTCCCAAGCAAAACGGGGTGGGAGGGCAAGAACACTTATCCCTTCCTCTCCTCCCACTGGCCCTCTTACTTCTCACCGTCCCACTAACCAACCCGAGTCCTCATTTCCTTGGCTCCTTTTTCCTTCTCCCTTCAGACCTGCCCTGGTGGTCTAGTTCAACCCTGGGACATCAGGTGACTGATGGGGGCTTTAAAGGAGCTGGGGCTGGGTGGTATGAGGTACAGGTGAAGTCAGTTTCCCAGAATCCAAGGCAAGAGTTACCCAGGATTCTCTGGGGAAAACCAGAATGGTCTATGTCCCACGATCGGGGTGGGGGCAGGGGGAGGAGAAAGCCACGGGGAGCTACCCAGAATTCTCCGGGGAACCTGGGAAATCGGTTACCCACAATTCTCCCCCGGCGGCGGGGAGAGGAGATGAGATGCAAGGGTCAGGCGTGTTCCCGGGATGCTTGCGGGGGATGGGTCATTACCAAGATTTCTCCACGGCCGATATTTTTGGAGAGCGTGGAATTAACAACAAGCAGTGGGAGTGCGAGCGCCGTCAGCTCTGTGGGAAATTCCAGTTTCCCCCGCCAGTTCTTCCCCGCGCGCCTCCGGCTCAACCTACCTTGGTGGAGAGCGGGCTCAACAGTATCCTCCTCCAATCAGGAAGAACGGAGAGCGCATCTAAGCCAATCAGAAGAAGCTAGATACTGTGGGCTGCGCCAGAAGGCGTGTGACGCAAAAGCGGGGCAAAACCAAGTTACGGTGGGCCGCTGGGGACAAACGGAGGCGGGCGCTGAGTTGGCTTGATGTCAGTGAAAGCCACTCTTATCGTTGAGTCTGATTTGACAATAAATTGCTCTAGACTTTGAAGCTGAGCTTAGTTAGGTTTTCTCTGACTTCAGAAAATCAGTCTACTAAGGGGCATCTGCGGCCCAGTGCTGGCAGGTGACTCCTGGGCATTCCCGGCTTAGCCTCCTCAGCGGGGATACTGAGAGGCGTTTCACTCCCTCTGACCCTGTCGCCCCGAAACTCGCTGGTATTTCCTCTCGTATGTGGATTTAGAGGAGAAAAAAGGAAGCAGGAGCCAAGCTCCTGACCCAGCCCGAGTGGGCATATTTCTATGCTTCTAGAAGCATCCATCCAAAATTCCCAGCTGTGAATGCTCCCCTCTAAGAGGCCTCGAAACATTCCCAGTGAATAGTGAAATTTCCCTAGCTGGGGGTGGGGTGGGCCCCTAAGAGCTGAGGTGCTTGTCTTACACACACACACACACACACACACACACACACACACACACCACACCACACCACACCACACCACACCACACCACACCAGTTACCGTCAATTTACCATCAGCAGTTATTCTGAGGCATGCAGGGGCAGAACTGTGAATTTGGAGGGCTTTGCAAAGGCTCTGGGTAGGCTCTAAGGCTCAGCTTGTGTTAGTTCCTAAAGACTATGCAGGCAGGCTGATGCAGGATTTAAAGAGAACTCCTTTAAAAGATCTAAGAATGTAGACTTCTCTAGGACTCACAGAAGCTGTAGCTCCAAAAAAAAAAAAAAAGAACATCCGAACTGAAAGTCTCTCAAACTCCTCCAATCACAGGTCCTTGGAGTGCTGAATCCTGCAAGGGGAGAGTGTGGCTTAGTGGTTCAAACACACACCTTCTGTATCAGAGTGCCTGGGTGTCAGACCTGGCTTCATGCGGAACTACTGCTCCCTGCTGATGCAGATTCCATGGGATGCTGCAAGTTACTAGGTTCCTGCCACCCAAGCCAGGAAACCTGGATGGAGTTCCCAGGTCTTGGCTTTGGCCCCAAGTGAGGACTAGAGGGCACTGGGAAGAGTGAACCAGCATACGGGAGTTTGGACTCTCAGAGGAAATCTCAGCTCAGCACGGTGGCTTGATAGCTAAAGTTCTCACCTTGCATGTGCCAAAATCCCATATGGATGGTGGTTCATAACCTGGCTGCTCCACTTCCCACCCAGCTCCCTGCTTGTGGCCTGGGAAAACAGTAGAGGGCAGCCCCAAGCCTTGGAACCCTGCACACACATGGGAGGCCCAGAGAAGGCTCCTCACTCCTGGCTTCAGATCAGCTCAGGTCAGTTCAGCTCTAGCCATTGCAGCCACTTGGGGAGTGAATTAGTGGACAGAAGATCTTTGTCTCTGTCTGTTCTTCTCTCTGTAAATCTGCCTTTCCAATAAAAATAATAATTAAAACAGTTAATTTAAAAAAAAAGAAATCAAACAAAAAGGGGAGTGCTGAGAGGTCATCATGGTGTTTCACCAGACTAATCCACTGCAAGTGCTGGATCCCACATGAGTGATGGTCCATGTCCTAATAACTCCACTTCCCATCCAGCTTCCTGCTTATGGACTGGGAAAGCACTGGAGGACGGCCCAGATCCTTGGGACCCTGCACCCCTGTGGGAGACCCAGAAGAAACTCCTGGCTAGGGCCCAGCACAATAGTGTAATGGATAAAGTCCTCACCTTGCACACACCTGGATCCCATATGCTCACTGGTTCAATCCCAGTGGCCCTGTTTCCCATCCAGCTCCCTGCTTGTGGCCTGGAAAAGCAGTTAAGGACGGCCCAGATCCTTGGGACCCTGCACCTGCGTGGGAGACCCAGAGGAGCTTCTGGCTCCTGGCTTCAGATTGGCTGAGTTCCAGCCGTTGCAGTCACTTGAGGAGTGAACCATCAGATGAAAGATCTTCCTCTCTGTCTCTCTTCCTCTCTGTCTCTCTTCCTCTCTGTATATCTGCCTTTCCAATAAAAACAAATAAATCTTTAAAAAAACAGAAAGGCCTTTGATGTCTCTCTCTCTCTCCTCCTCTTTCGAGAGGCACCCCACCTCCCGGCTTTCTCTTGGGAGGTGCTTCCCCTCTCTTTTCTCTTCCCTGCTCACCTGGTCCCTTCACAAATAAACTTTTCTGTCTGCAACAGAGAAAAAAATAAAAAGAAAGAAAAAAAGAAACTAACTAATTCCTGGCTTTTGGTTCTGGCTTCAGTTTGGCTCAGCTCCAGCCACCGTGGTCATTTGGAGAATGAACCAGTGGATGGAAGATTTTTCTGTCCTTCTCTCTATAAATTTGCCTCCTCCCCCCCCCAAAAAAAATGTATATATTTTTTTCCTTAAAAAGGGGAGTATTCAGAGACCTAGGCAGTTTCTACACTCTGAGACATCTCTGTATCTGGGTCTCCAACGGAAACAGACTCCATATTTCATGAGACACTTGGACAACATAACCTATAAGGCAAAGATGTTCTTGTGTCTCCTCACAGTATCCAGGATAATGCAGAGATTATTGCAGGACCGGCGCGGGCCTTCAGTGCCAGTGCACTACTAGAAACATCATCCTGTCAGAGTACTTGGATTCAGGTCTGCTTTCAATTCCAGCTTCCTGTTAAGGCACACCATAGGAAGCAGGGGGTGATGGCTCAAATCCTTGGGCCCCTGCCACGCACTTGAAAGACTGGACCGAATTCCTGGATACCAGCTTTGATTTAAGTGCTGTAGGATTTTGAGAGTTAACCAGAGGATGGAAGATCTCTGTCTCTGCCTTTCCAATGAATAAAATTACAATTAAAAGAAATACAATTAAAATGTGTGTGTGTATACATATATAAATGCAGGCTCAGACTGAAGGTGGATTGTTTACACTGAAATTCTAGCCAGTTAGTAGCTCTCCAGAAAACTGCCTATCTAGGGTACTGTGGGTAGTATGTTAGGCAACTACCTGCAGTGCCAGCATCCCATATAGGCGCTGGTTCAAGTCTTGGCTACTTTACTTATGATCCAGCCCCTTACTAATGGTCTGAGAAAGCAGTCCAAGTGCTTGGGCCTCTGTACCTACCTGGGAGACCTGGATGAAGGCTCCTAGCTCCTGGATTCAACCTGGCCCAGCACCGGCCATTTGGGGACTAACTCAGCAGGTGGAAGACATCTCGCTTTTTCCCTTGCTGTAACTGTTTAGAAAAGTGCTTATCTGAAAACAAAAACAAAAACAAAAAAAAAAAAAGAAAGAAAAGTGCTTTTCTGAATCTCAATCTCGTTATCTGTAATATGCGGATCATAATTGTCTCCACCTTGCGGAATTGTGAGAATTACCAGGTTAACCCTAAATGCTTAGAGTAAGAACTTGACCTAGAGTGAGTGTGGGATTAGCACCTAGGCAATCTTCAGCTGGTTTTGGAACCCGGGCTTCCAGCTGGAAAGGCCTACGCAGGAGAGTCCTGAGGGTGTGATTTGCATAGCGGTTGAGGCCCTGGTGACGTCAAGTGCTCCTTGCAGCTCCAGGTCAGATGAGCCCTGGAAGAGGTTCCTGTTCACACAATCCTCCCACAGTTACCCCTATCAACGCTGCCTCCTCCCCAACTCCTGCAACACCAGGAAGTGAAACAAAAGGGCAGAGCCTTTGGCCTCCAACTCACCCTGTCCCTCCTGTCTCATCCTTGGTGGCTTTACTTCTTCCTCCTCCTTTTCACCTTCCATCTCTCAGCTTTTAAGATTTATTTTTGGGCCGCCCGGTGCGGTGGCTTAGTGCCTAAAGTCCTCACTTTGAATGCGCCGGGATTTCATATGGGTGCCGGTTCTAATCCCAGCAGCTCTGCTTCCCATCCAGCTCCCTGCTTGTAGCCTGGAAAAACAGCCAAGGACAGGCCAAAATCTTAGTACCCTGCACCTTCATGGGAGACCTGGAGGAAGTTCCTGGCTCCTAGCTTCAGATCGGCGCAGCACCAGCCACTGTGGTCACTTGGGGAATGAATCATCGGATGGAAGATCTTCCTCTCTGACTCTCCTCCTCTCTGTATATCTGACTTTGCAATAAAAATAAATAAATCTTTGAAAAAATTATTTTTATTGGAAAGGCAGATTACAGAGAAAAGGAGAGACAGATCTTCTGTCTGCCAGTTCACCCCCCAAATGGCCACAATGGCTGGACCAGAGCTCTGATCCAGAGCCAAGATTCAGGAGCTTCTTCTGGGTCTCCAACGTGGGTACAGGGTCCCAAGCCAAAGGCAGGGAGCTGGATGGTAAGTGGAGCAGCTGGAACATGAACTGGTGCTCATATGGGATCCTAGTGCTCACAAGGTTATTTAGCCACTAGGCCATTGTGCTGCCTAAATTTAGGCTCAGACTGGGGGATGGGAGCCAAATCAGGGGAAATGTTCTATAATGTGAACTGAAGTTCCCGAGGATCTCCTTCTGATTTCCTGATTTCACGTGTGTCTTTCCTGTGTCAGGATAAACAAACCACTCCTCACCCACACTGAGCTCATTTGAGATTGGACATGTATCTTGTGTTGTTTTTTTTTTAAAGATTTATTTATTTTTATTGGAAAGGCGGATATACAGAGAGGAAGAGAAGCAGAGAGGAAGATCTTCTGTCCAATGGTTCATTCCTCAAGTGACTGCAACGGCTGGAGCTGAGTCGATCCAAAGCCAGGAGCCAGGCGCTCTTCTGGGTTTCCCACATGGGTGCAGGGTCCCAAAGCTTTGGGCCATCCTTGACTGCTTTCCCAGGCCACAAGCAGGGAGCTGGATGGGAAACAGGGCCACTGGGATTGAACCGGTGAGCATATGGGATCCAGGTATGTTTAAGGCGAGGACTTTAAGCAGTATGCTTATTGCGCCAGGCCCATGTTTCTTCTGAAAGTTGGATTTGCCAAAGATTCATAGAATTGGCACTAGAAATTTCATTGGGCAGTTTGGAATTGCTCTGAGGGAACAGAGATCTCCAGAAGGGACTAAGGGTTACCCTTCGGGGAAGGCACTGAGAGCTAGCTGTGTGGTCACCTATGGCTTCATTCTGACGTCCAAATTGTTCTGGAACCCTCCACCAGGACTGGGGCAGCCCCAGCCTGGGACCACCCTCCACGCCCACGCCCAGCCTTACACTAGCAGCTGTTTCTCTGGATGTTGCATCAGGAAGGTGATGAAATCTGTGACAGTGGAGTTTACCCACAGATGCAACAGACCCATCACGGTCATGGACACTGTGTACTCTTCACCACCTAGAACTTCTGGGCATCTTTCCCATGGGGAAGAGCCAAAGCACTGGCAATCTGGATTAACCTCCTCAGCCTTGCTGACCCCTAGCATCCTGGCAAATCCTCACCTGACTCCCCAGAGTTCACATAAACTTACGTAGTCAGGCTGGGAGAATTGGTGGGTTCCCAGCCAGCATCCTCTTCCCACAGGAGCCCCTAATGCCACGTGAAGAGTGGAGAGCAGGGAGAGCAAACTCAAACCCTCTCATGGCTTCCCAGCTCAAAAGAATTTCTCCTCACATCCTCCCTATTAGGAAACCAGGAGAGGCTCAGGAAAATGACGGTTTCCAAGGGAGGAGCAACAAGTTCCCTAATTCTTAGATAGCAGGCCTGTGGGTAGCAGCCAAGTTTCCTTCCAGACCCAGCTCAAGGTCCTTTTCAGAGATGACTACAGGCTTCTCTGTTTTTTTTTTTTTTTTTTCTTAGACAAGAGGAAGCAAGGAAATGAGGTTTGGGGTGGGGCTGTAGTGGAGAGGCAAAAAGATCAGGGGAAGATTAAACAGGAAGGAACTTGAGACCAGATTTATTTAAATGTCTGTTTCTCCTCATGATTCCTGGAGAGCATTACACATGTGTCTCAGCCAGCGCCCTCTGGCCACAGTGACCACAGCACTGGGTTCCCCCACAGCAATGGGGGGAGGAGGGGCTTCATACCTGGGCTCTCCCAGTGGCGGGGTGATGAATGAAGGGGAAATCCCCCCTGCTCTGAGTCACCTGTCAGCAAAAGGGGCGGGCCTTACAATGCTGGAACCTTAAAAAAGGACTCTGGGGCCACAGGAGTTAAAGGACAGGAAGCAGCCGAAGAACCGGATCTCAGAATCCAACAACCAAGGCCGAACAGAGGGCCAGGTGCGTGAAGATTTTCTCCAAGGACCGGTGCGATTCGAGATGCAGGCTGGAATGCTCCTACCACTGCTGCTGCTGCTGCTGTTGCCAGCTGCCCAAGTCTGGGCCATGCCTGTGGACAGTGGCCTTGACTGGACTCAGTGCCAGCAGCTCTCCCAGCAGCTCTGCACACTGGCCTGGAATGCACATTCGCTAGGGGCACATGTGGTGAGTGACTGTGTTAGTTGGACCTCCAAGTCCCAAGGATGTGAGAGGCATCACTTTTAGGGGGAAGGCAGAGGGAGGGTTCAAGGTCACCTGGGAGTTGGAGGTGGGGTTCCTGAGAGACTCACTGAAGCACCAGTCCAGATGGGGCTCCAAAGTTCTTATTGTCTCTATTTCTCCCCTACTCCTTTCGTCCCAGGACCTACCAAGAGAAGAGGGCGATGAAGAGACTTCCGGTGATATTGTCCCCCGGATCCAGTGTGAGGATGGCTGTGACCCCCAAGGACTCAGGGACAACACTCAGGTAACCACCCACTTGATCCAGTGTGAGGATGGCTGTGACCCCCAAGGACTCAGGGACAACACTCAGGTAACCACCCACTTGATCCTTGGCCCTGTGGGAGAGGACAGGGAATGTGGCTGCAGCACCGTGATGAACTGGACTGGGGACAGAAAAGAATTTGGTGGGTCTTCTGCGAATGGGGTAAGAGGGTGTGCTTCACACTCTTCTCTCTCTAGTCCTGTCTGCGGAGGATCCGTCAAGGTCTCATGTTTTACGAAAAGTTGCTGGGCTCGGACATTTTCACAGGGGAGCCGGCTCTACTCCCTGATGGCCCTGTGGGTCAGCTTCATGCCTCTCTCCTGGGCCTCAGCCAACTCCTTCAGGTACAAGCTAGGGGCCTGGAGGATGGGGTTGGGGGAATGGTGCTGGCAGGGGCCTAAGGAGCCTGAGACCTCTCTGATAATGTTCTGCATCCTTTCAGCTCAAGGGTCGCCATCAGGAGACTCACCTAACCCCAAGCCTCAGTCAGAGCCAACCATGGCAGCGCCACCTTCTCCGCTTCAAGATCCTACGCAGCCTACAGGCCTTTCTGGCTGTGGCTGCTCGGGTTTTTGCTCATGGGGCGGCCACCCTGAGCCCCTAGAGCCACCAGCCCAAGGATGGCACCCTGTGCTCTCAGCTTGGCAGTGCTGACGCTGCTGACCTGTGACTAAGCTGAGTATTTATTAGGTGGGAGGGGAGACTTTGGGACTATTTATTGTCATGGGAGCAGCTTGTGGGAGATTATTTATTGTATTTATGCTTTTTAATAAAGACTTATTTATATGACTATGGGATAGAGCTTTTACTCTTGGTTGGGAACCAAGGGCCATGGGAGTATGATACATCCCTTGCTTTTCCCCTGAAGGGCTCAAGGCCTCAGGAGTCCCTGGCACAAATGGGCATCTTTGTGGTGTAAACTGCTCTGTGGCTAAGCAAATAGAAGAGGATCACAAGAGCTTTGAGATGACACAGTAGGGGTACACCTGGGGGTCTCTTGCTCCTTGAGACACTGGCTCCCAGCTCTCCTGGCTGAAGACAGGAGCCCTAAACACTGTAGGATCCAAGGTCACAGCTCAGTTTTGGGGCATTGCAGGGAGCCTGAAGGTCTATTTCCCAAACCAACAGGATTCTCATAAAGAGCTGTAGACCCCCTCAAGAGTGCAGTGTGGTTGCCCAAGGGGAGCCAAAATAACTGAAAAAAATTGCAGAAGCGAGGGGTGGAAGCAGAGGTTAGTGGCTATTCCTTTTCCTTAAGGACACAGCATTGGACTCCAGTGTGTATCCTGGCTTTGCTGGCAAGTCATCTAAGTGACAGTGGGACAAATAACCACTTGTCCTCTCCCCCGACATGCATGTAGTCACAGCTGCCCTGTGAGACCCTGAGGAACATGAGCAGCAGCTCCAGAGAACAAAGAAACATGAGCAGCAGGGCAAATGGGTATGTGGCTGAGAGGCCGCCAGGTGCCCATCCACATTCTGATATGCCTGAGGACACTCGGTCTTTGTGAGACAAAAAGTTAAGTCGGAGACAAAACACTTCTGGAGCAGTACAAAGTTTATTAGCCTTTACTGCTGAGAAAAGCCTTGAGGGGGCTGTTCCACTGACACATCAGGCAGGAAGCAGCTACAGGTGCAAGACCCTGCCCTCATCCAGCTCTAGGGACACCTCTTGGTCCAAGGACAAGAACCTGCTTGGGGGTTCACTGGAGATGGCTAAAATGTGTGTGGGGCTGTCCAGGGTCCGGGGAGCATAATCTCCCAGGTGCCCAGGCCCACACTCACGGAGCAGGGAAACAATACATGGTGTGAAAGAGGGTGATAATATAGTACTAAAAAACCAGCTGAGACCCAATGCTTCTCCTCTGCTGGAGAACACTGAAGTCTACCCAATACCACCCAAAGCAACTCCTGAATCCCTACCACCCTTCCCAACCCTAGCCTAAGTGTTGTGGGGGTGGAGACTAAGAAGCAAGAATCGGAGTGCAAAGCTTCACAGTCATGGTCACAGTGGATTGGTTTCTCATCTTGTCGGGGAGGGAGAAGTGTGTGCAGTCAGTCTAGCAGGTGGAGCAAGAGATGAGGACAAGCAGGAAGAGGAGGGCCAGGGCAGAGCTTCACAGGGTGGGCTTAATCAGAAGAGAAAAACAGAATCCTGGCATGCACCTGTGCTGCCCACCGAGGGCCCTCATTCAGCCTTCCTTGCTTTAAGACGCTGTGGTCCTTCCAAGTTGCCAAGAAACCGTGCCCATGAGACCTTCCAGTGCCTGCTGTGTACCCTGGCCTACCCTCAGAAATTCAGGGCCCAGCAGGCAGTCCCTCCCTGGGATCCTCCTGGGAGCCACGGTCAGAATCTCATCTGTTTCCTTGGAGTTCTTCTGTATGCATATCAGGCTTTTTGCCTTTGACTCCTGATCCCATCCCTGGAGAGCAGCATTGTTATGGGAGGGCATGGAGAGGGACAGGAGATCTGGAATAGAGGAGACAGATGGAGCTGCTCCTAGCAGTCAGAAGGGACCAGAGGTCCCCCGGAGTCAAAATGGCTGTAGTAGGGGTTGTCAGCCTCCTCTATAGTGTCCTGGTTGGCCATCAATGGATCCCCGTTCAGCATGATTTTGTCAATCTGCACGCAGTTCCTGAAGACTAGAGAAGCCAAGGGTTGGGGAGTGTGTAGGGAGAGAGAGAGAGAGAGAGAGAGAGAGAGAGAGAGAGAGAGAGAGAGAGAGAGAGTGAGTCAGGCCCTGATATCAATGGGGAGGCCCCAACCCAGCAGGGAAACCAGGAGGGAGGGAGGGAGAGAGGCAGAAAACACCCAGGACTGGACCTCAGGAGAACCTGGCAGGGGAAGGTACGGGGGCATGGGGAAAGGCATGAGTGTGGCCCCCAAAAGCCACTACTGGAAAAGCAGCCTTTCTTTGATGAAGATCTAGGAATGCAGGAAAGGGCGACAGACCATAGCAGGGGCTGATGGGGCCTGGCCACAGCCCCTCACTTACTCTCCATTTCTTCCGTGTTCAAGTGTTTCAGGTCCCCAGGCAAATCTGGTTCTAGCACTGGCTCTGATCTGGGTCTCAGGTCTGGCTCTAGCCCTCCAAGTGGCACCATGGCCAGTGTGGCCTCTAGCACAGACTCCAGCTCTGGTCCTAGATCCGACCCTAGATCCAGGCCTGTCGCCAGCAGCGACTCTAACTCCAGGTCTGGCCCTAGCTCTGGCCCTGGAGCCAGCCCTGGCTCCAACTCGAATGGCTCCAGTTTTGGGTCCAGCGGCGACGGCAATGGCTGCAGCTCATCCAACTGTCTGCAGATACCAAGACACAGAGAGGCCGGGTCATCTTCCAGCCACAGTACCCGAGTTAGCTCTCCTCCCCCACTTGGAACCTCAGTGTCCACAGATGAAATTATCACAGCCACCTCACGGGAATGACTGTGAAGCTTTGAGGGAATGAACACAGAGCATTCAGCGCAGGGCTGGCCTGTCAGGAAGCTTGCTTTGAGTGTGGCTCAGATGACCACCTACTATGTAGGATTCTCACAAGGACAAAACCCCAAGGATGTTCTTAGAATCTGTTAATCCCAGTGACCACGACCCCACGACTGACCACTCCTCCCTGGGGAACTAGGGCAAGGGTGATGCAAAGGTGGTATCAGGAAGGCAAGACAGAGGAGACAGACTCAAAGTACGGGAAGGAGCCAGAGAGTGGGTCCAGTAGAGTGTGCTGCAGGTGGACGGAGCTGAGCAGGCTGGAGTCCCTCTATCTGCCAGAAGGGTTCAGGGAGGCATGCCGGAGAGCGTCTGTCTCACCTGTTGGAGACCACAATGAGCCTGTGTTTCAGGTACTTCCTTTGTTCCAGGAGATTCACTGTGAGGACCACACACACAAAGGGGCGGGAAGATGAGCGGGGTGCACCTGTGGCCCCTGACCCAGGTCTCCTACTGCAGAAGGTCCTGACTTCAGGTCATACCTCCCCATTCAGCAACTAAGAGAGTCCTGTCAATCAAATCTTTCCCTTCTCTGGATATCATGCTTTTACCTTTCTTTTAAAAAAGTAATTTTAAAGGCAGCATGATTCTTTAGCTGGTTCACTCCCTTCAGAGACTGAAATGGCAGGGGCTGGACCAGGAGCCTGGAATTCCATGAGAATCTCCCCATGTGGGTGGCAGGGGACCCAAGCACTTGAACCATCCTTGGTTGCTTTCCCAGGCACATCAGCAGGGACCTGGATGGAAAGTGGACCAGCTGGGACTCAAACAAGTGTTCATATGGCATGCCAATGTCACAGGTGGTAGCCTAAACCACTGAGCTATAATGCTGGCTCCTGGCTATGACTTTTCCCATGTTCCAAAAGGAAAATGCATTTATGGGGTCTGAGAACTCCTGCCATCTAACAATCAAGGATGCCAACCATTTCCACTTTGTGGCACAGTGCATTAAGCTGTTGCTTGCCATGTCGGCACACCACGTTAGAGTCTGATTAGCTCCCTGTTCATGTGTCTGGGAAAAACAGCAGAGGATGATTCAAGTGTTTGGGCTCTGCCACCCATGTAACAAACTCCAGATGGAGCCCTTGGCTCCTGGCTTTGTTGGGGCCCAGCCCTGGCTGTCTATGCAAACCTGAGGCAGGGGGTGGTGAACCAGTGAATGGAAGTTCCCCAACCTGTTCCATCACCATGCCTGGTCAATAGATACACAAGTAAAGAAACAAACAAATCAGCTGCCACCTTTCTCCTGGTAGTAGCTCCCAAAAGCCTCGTCCCGGGGGATGTTGGGGTAGAGGAAGCGCAGAGGGTTTTCGGGGATGTTCTCATCAGTGAGTAGCTGGTAGTGGCGGATGATCTCGGTCAGCGGGAGCGACTGTAGCACCTCCTTCGTGTAGGGTTGCACCGAGCGGATGACCACCTTATCTGGAGTGTTGCGTACAAGGATGGGGAGCCAGGCCTGAGGGAACGGGAGGGGCCTGGGAGCTCCCCACACCCTGGCTGCCCAACCCCAAGCCTACTGAGGATTTCAGGTCGGAGCCAGGGAAGTCATGGGCAGACACTGGGGCTAGGAGGGGAGGCTGGGTGGAGGGGGAAGGGCAGCTGACCATCGTCCTGGTGCTCCACCCAGGAGCAGGTGATGCCCCCTTCCTCCGATTCACTGAAACGCAGCAGGAAGGTGCCAGACATGGTCTTCTTCAGCAGGCGGCGCTCCTGGCTGCGGCTCACAAAGCCCATGATATGCCTGTGCATGGAAGGCGGCTGTGGGGAACTCCGCCAGAACCGCAGCACAAAACGGCTCAGCTCGGTCACTTGGAAACCCTTCCCTTCTGGTGAAGTTTACTGGCCTCAGCCAGGGCCCGGGAGAGGGGAGTGAGGAGTCAGGCTGATCTTGAGGGGACAGGTGGTATGGTGGGAAAGGAGTGAGAATGTGGAGATAAGCAGGCCTACGTTCAAACCCTAGTACTGTCCCTTGGGGAAGCCCATTTTCAATTCTGAGACTCAGTGTTCCTCCCTCGCAAGGGAGGCAGGTCACCACCATGGTCTGTATGGTTGTGTAGGGGAAAAGTAAAAACACCCAGAGGATGCTGAAAAATACCACCTGCTATTACCATGATGGCCGCCAGGGGGCGCCTTCGCACCAGCTTTTGAGGCTATATGCGGCTATATGAGGATGGAGCTGTTATCATAGGGTCCACTCCCAGGCTGGGGAAGAAGAGGCCTCTGGGAAGCATAAAGCCCCTCCTACCCATCTTTCCAGAGATTCTGCAGGTGGTCATGCACCAACTCCAGAATTTTGTCCAGCCATGTCCAGAAGGGTATCTTGCCAGGTGGACTTTCTCGCTAGAGGAAAAGTAGAAAGGCATGATGGATGGAGGAAGGCTGAGGACAGGCTGGGGGCACCCGGGCTGGTGTTGCAGTCACTCAGGCTGCTGGGAGTCACCTTGGTGAAGTCGGCCCAGGACAGCAACAGGTTCTCATTCTTGGAGCTCTTCCCTGGGGGTGGAAGGCCAAAGACACGGATCAGATGACACACACAGAGAGATGAGGCTGGGTGTCATCGGAGAGGTCAGACCGAGGGCTGGGGCAAGGCTTAGAGAGGAGGAGGCAGTGGAGGGCTGTACCAAACAGCTTATCCTTGAGCATGCTCAGCTGCTCCGAGTTGAGGCCCCGTCCAACGTAGGAAGAGAACTGGTTGCTGAGGGCAGGGCCCAGAGTGCTCCAGGGTGCCTTTGGGGGGCTGGAGAAGAACTGCTGGTCCTGCGGGACAAGGCGGGGTCAGGAGATAGCTCAGTGCAGCTCCTCACAGCCAAGCTTCCCTCTTCCCCGTCCTTGCCAAGCCCTCCAGGTGGAGAGTTGGACCCGCTCCTACCTGGGGGTTGGAGCTGAGAAGATTGAACCAGAGGATGGAGGCCCAGGCAATGGAGAGCTGGTTCATGTTAGAAATGACCACCACGGGGAGAGTGTCTGTCTGCGGGAGACAGGAAGCACAGAGCAGAGGGTGTGGGGAACACATCAGCCTCCGCTACCCCTTGCCCCTCCAGAAATTTCCGTTGATCCCTCCTATGCCTTCTTCCCTGTCTCCCTTGTCTCCCCCTGCCCTCCATTTTCACTCACTTTCAGGTCCAGCTTTAGATCCTGGTAGGTATATGTGATCACGAAGCTGATGACATGCAGTTCCTCTGTAACGGCCAGTGTCCCCTGGGACAGGCAAAAGCACCGGGGTCGGAGGGCCCCTTGTCAAGCTCTTCCTGCCCCAGCCCCCCAGCCCCGCTGCCCCTGGTTTCCTGCCCAAGCCTCACCTTGTTGCTGCCCTTTCCAGAACCACCTGAGCGTTGCTCCACCAGAGACTAGATTGAGAGTGGAAGGAGACAAAGTGCTGTGGTAGGGATGGGGTGGGGGACACCCCAAAGACTCTGGAAGCCCTATTTCAATTCAAGATCTCTCAAAACCCTGGGCCCTGTCGCTTTGGACTAGAAGTCTAAGCTACCTCTCCCCTCAACCCCTCCACACACATTTCTTACCAAGCAGCCAAAATCCCAGACCAAGCCCTGACTCTGGCCCCTTTCAGGTGTCAACGTCTTCTGGTTTGAGGTCATAATGTTGAACTTCCGGAAGCTGTTCCAGGAGGAAGAAGACACACACAGATGAGGGAGCAGAATTCTGAATATCTGGCAGGGAAGTGGCCCACGTTCTACTATGTATCAGATTTCTCTTTCTCCCTTGCCCCCTCCCTCTCCCTTCTTGTTTGTGTTTCCACCAAGGGCTGGCCAATGTGGTTGTATAGGTCCCGCAATGCACAAATGCTTGCAGTGTCTTTGTCAGGCACATACCCTTGTAATTGAGGAGGATTCCTGAAAAGAAATTAAAAAAAAAAAAATGAAAATGATTGGCAGGCACAGAATTTGGTCTCTGGGCTCAGAGTCAGTTTTGCAGCTCACTGCCTTTGCATGCTTGAAGCCCCTTCTTCATTCATATGGCGTGCTGCTGATAGCTAACTTGTGGAGTTGCTATGACAGCTAAGTGACTGACACGCCACACAGCAGAGTAACTGCTCAACAGAGGTGAGTTCTTACCCTACTACCCCATCAGCCCTTGGTCAGCCTAGTCCCTTAGTCCCACCCTTCCCTCTTGCCTCAACGTACTTGTCAATGAAGACCTTCACAGTCAGGGACTCACTGCCTTCCTGGAGTCTTACCAGAAGCCTGAGAGGAACGGAAATAAAGGGGGGGAAGGTGTAGACTTCAGATTCTTGAAAGTGTTTGATATGTGAAAGTGATGAGGGCTTGGAGGAGAAGAGGTGGGTGGATCAAGGAAAGCGGGAGCAAAAAAGGCCATGAAGCTGACGCCCCCTAATGGCCGGGTTGGGAATGGGCAGCGGGATGAGCTCTGATGCACTGACCTTGTTCGCACCGTGAACTTGCTCCCCGTCTTAATGATGAGGGGTCGCTGGGAAGTCTGGGGCATGTGGGGTTGGGTCTCTACCACAAAGGCACTGCAGGGGGGGGGGGGGCGTGGAGAGAATGTGCCAATTGGTGTCTGTCCCAGTGTGGGGGGACTCCCCTGTGTCCTTCCTTCTCCCCTCCCTCTAGAGTGCATCCACAGGCCCCCAGACCTGTGCAGCAGAGACTCCAGCAACTCCAGGATCTTGGCATTCTGCAGGTCCACGCCTTGGGACAGAGGGTCATTCTCATAGGTTACCAGGCGGTGCATTTGCTTTAGCTTCTTATTCAGCTGCAGCAGGTGGAACAAGAGCTTTGCTCCATCGGTGAACCTGGATGGCAGAACCCAGGAGGGGGACTCTGTGAATCTCCCAGAGTGTCCCTCCAGGGGATCAGCGGACAGTCAGACACTTTCCAGGAGGAGGGGGAGAAAGAACCCAGGAAGCAAGTGAAAGATGGCTGCAGTATAGTTCATATATAAAGAGATGAAGGCCAAAGACATTTTGGGGGCCCGGCGCAAAGGCTTAACAGGCTAATCCTCAGCCTGCCAGTGCTGGCATCCCACATGGGTGCTGGTTTATGGCTGGGATGCTCCACTTTCCATCCAGCTCCCTGCTTGTGGCTGGGAAAGCAACAGAGGACGGCCCAAAGCCTTGAGACCCTGCACCCGCATGGGAGACCTGAAAAGAAGCGCCTGGCTGCTATATCAGCTTAGCTCTGGCAATAAGTGGCCACAAGGAGAGTGACCTAGCAGTTGGAAGATCTTTTTCTCTGTGCTTCTCTCTGATTCTGGGGAGTGAACCAGCAGATGTAAGATCTTTGTCTCTCCTTCTCTCTGTAAATCTGCCTTCCCAATGAAAATTAAATCTTTGAAAACAAGTCCTTTACACAAACAAAAATTCCAAAAGGTTGACTAACACAACAGTAGCATTTTTTTTTCTTTTTTGAAGATTTATTTACTTTTACTGGAAAGTCAGATATATATATATAGAGGAGGAGAGACAGAGAGGAAGATCTTCCGTCCGATGATTCACTCCCCAAGTGACTGCAATGGTTGGAGCTGAGCTGATCTGAAGCCAGGAGCCAGGAACTTTTCAGGGTCTCCCATGTGGGTGCAGGGTCTTAAGGCTTTGGGCCTTCCTCAACTGCTTTTCCAGGCCACAAGCAGGGAGCTGGATGGGAAGCAGGGCTGCTGAGAATATAACTCATGCCCATATGGGATCCCGGCACTTTCAAGACGATGACTTTAGCCACTAGGCTACCACACCAGGCCCTACAGTAGCATTTCATATGATACTTCTCTGTACGATTTCTACTGAGCACTTTATATTGTATCAATGGGCTTCATTCTTAAACACAGAAAATTGAAGTGAACTTGCTCAAGGCCTTACAAGTACCGCAGTAAGGGATAAAGCTTTTATGAGAGCCCAGGCAGTCTGGCTGCAGAATCCATACTTTTTTTTTTTGGTAAGATTTACCTATTCTTATTGGAAACGTAGATTTACATAGAGAAGATATATAGAAAAAGATCTTCCATCCACTAGTTCAAACCTAAGTGGTTGCAACAGCCAGAGCTGAGCCAATCCAAAGCTAGGAGCCTGTGACAATGGCATCCCCTAAGTGATGTCTCAGCCCCTCTGCTTCTGATACAGCTCTCTGCTAATGGCTTGGGATGGGCAGCAGAAGATGGGCCAAATGTTCGGGCCCGTTCCACACATGTGGGAGACTTGGATGAAGCTCCTGGCTTTTTTTCTCGGGTGATTAAAAAAAAGAGAGAAACCAGATTATGGTTGAAAACACCACTTTCACCAAATTAAGGACTGAACTCTGGCTTCCTTGGGTGATGGAGATGAAGGGTGGAACCTAGCTGCAGTCTGAGAAGGATGCCGGGGAACACAGCCAGCGGGTGGGACTTCTGCTGGGGACAGGCCCAGGTCAGGACTGGGGCTCGGAGTGGTACAGGGGTGCGGCAGCAGCTCTCACCACTTCTCCAGCAGTTCCAGGTCAGGCTGTGGCTGGGCTCCGATACAGGCTTTCTGCTGCTGGGTCTTCCATGTGACCAGCTCTGGCAGCAGCAGGTCGATGAGGGTGGTCAGTCGGCCCAACAGGGCCTTGAAGGTGTCCAGCACCACCTGACAATGGTAGAGTTGAGCGCCTCTCACCAAAATCTCCCGCCATCCAATTGAGGATGAGAAGAAGCATCTGACACTAGGAGCCCCAGATTCCCCCTCCCCCCATCACTTAGGTTTCTCCTTCCCTGCTGCCCCCATCCTCTTCCTCCCACCTTTCTCCTTTCGTTCAGTTCATTCAGAGTGGCTTGAAGTAGCTCCCGCTGCCTGTTGCGATGGCGGTCCAAAGAGGCTGCTTCCCCTGAATAGTCAGAGCAGGGAGTCAGACTAGGAGTTCCCTGCTCTCTCCTCTTTGATCACATCCCAGAGTTAAAAGGGGACTTGGACTCACTGGAGTTCGCCTCTTCTGCTCTCCCAGCTGGCACCTGTCTCCTACTGTCTCCTTGCTCCCGACCCTCGGTGTGGGTGTTGTATCGGAAGTAGAAGACCTCCTGCAGATCTGTCAGCTGGTTGACGGACTTCACTAGCTTCTGTGGAGGGCATGTGATCCCATCCCGATGAAGCTTGTACATTCTGAGGGAGGATGCGGGAGGGGACCCCATCCACCCGTATCTTGCCACACTGACCAACCTCCATCATTGCCTTTAGATCTGTGATCCGTGATTCAATCTCACAGTGTTGGCTATCCATGGGTGGCTCGAGGGCTGGCTGGCCTTGTTCCTGCAACAGAAGAGGCTCTGAGCACATTTAAGCCCTAAACTTCCATACCTGAAAATACACCTGAAACTGTACCATAGGATGTGGGGGGAATCCTATTCTTTTTTTTTTTTTTGTAATTTTTCTAAATTCCATATAAGCAGAACATCATAAGAATCATAGGAAAATTGAATTAAAAATATGAGTTTATTTTGACACAAAAAGATTTAATCATAATACACAGAAAATAATTATTTTGAAAAAAAATATGTATGGGATCCAGCGTGAAGGCTCAATTGGCTAATCTTTGCCTTGCAAGTGTTGGAATCCCATATGGATGTTGGTTGGTGTCCTGGCTAATCCACTTCCCATCCAGTTCTCTGTTTGTGGCCTGGAAAAGCAGTGGAGATGGCCTAAGGTCCAGGCCCAGAAGAAACTCCTGGTTCCTAGTTTCAGATTGTCTCAGCTCTGGCCATTGCAGCCATTTGGGGAGTGAACTAGCAGATGGAAGATCTTTCTCTCTGTCTTTCCTCTGTATAAATCTTGTCTTTTCAATAAAAACAAATACATTTTTTAAAAAAGAAAAAGCTGGGCCCGGCACGATGGCGAAGTGGTTAAAGTCCTCGCCTTTCACGCCCGGGATCCCATATGGGCACTGGTTCTAATCCCAGCAGCCCCGCTTCCCATCCAGCTCCCTGCCTGTGGCCTGGGAAAGCAGTCGAGGACGGCCCAAAGCTATGGGACCCTGCACCCGCGTGGGAGACTGGAAGAGGCTCCTGGCTTCAGATCGGCATAGTATCGGCCGTTGTGCTCACTTGGGGAGTGAATCATCGGATGGAAGATCTTCCTCTCTGTCTCTCCTCTCTGTATATCTGCCTTTCCAATAAAAATAAAATAAATCTTAAAAAGAAACAAAAGAAAAAGCTGTATGTGGGTTTTAAAAATTTTGTGTACCTCCCCAGCTGTAAACAATGGCTTGGGTTGCTTTGTACCTAGGTAAGTGTTACATAGCTGGGAGAAAAGGAGCCAACAGCTGGCAGGCATCTTGGGCCTGGTTAATACCAAATTTGTAAAGATATGTGGGGGAATTTGGAGCCATGAGCTCCCAGCCTGGCTTGGGCTGGCCCTCGCAAGGGCCATTTGGTGCAGGGCGCCCCATGTAGTCTCGAGCACAGGGACTATGGACTGATCAGGGAAAAGAGCATGAGATGTGAGGGAGGGAGGATCACTGAGGGAGTGTATTGCAGGTGAGGAATGACTTCTGAGGGACTTCCGCTGACAAGGCCACTGCACTTGCTGACTGTGAATACATGTGTCGGAACTGGGCCTCCTCAGTGGCTCGGAGCAGTGGATGACACACTCAGATGCACATGGAGGATACGGCAGTCCATAGGGACCAGCAGAGGACATCTGGAACCATAGCAGAGCATGGAGGGCAGAACGAATCGGTCAACTCTCCCAGCCAATGACAGCAAGGATCTGGATAATTGGAGACTCTAAGGTGGACTATGTCAGCCAATGGACCTTGGAAGGATTTCCTCATCCTTGTAGCAATGAAATCAACAGCATTTTAGAACTATTGAAACCACCTTAGCAGCACCTTTGGACCATGCTTGACATTGGGAACCCTGGGATGACATCGGGTGGCCGTTCCCCTGACATTGGGTACTGAGGTGGTTGGGAGGCTTGGTGCCCCCCCTTTGTGCTATTTAAATGTATCATGGCACTGTAGGCACAGTCAAAGGCAGAAAATTCAACATATTCAACAGTCAAGGCATATTTAACTGTTTCATTAAGAGTCCTGCTTGGGGTGGAGGATCCTGTTTTATGAACAATTTCCTGAATCCTTTCCGTGTGTCCCCTACTCCAGAATCTTCCAACACCTCTAGCACCTTGTTCTTACCGCCTCAGCCCTCATAGCCTGCTTCAGAATTTTTTCTTCTTCGAAAAGGAGGTTAAACATCATTTCAGCCAATTGGATAGGGCTTTGGAGAAAGGGCTGGAGCAAGAGAGGAAGGAATAACCTGAGTTCAACCACTCGTAAGTGACCTGCCCCCCAGGTCCCCAGTGTTTCCCTGTCTTTCAGGGTTCCTGGCTCTTTCCCTTTTCCTCATTGGTTTCCTCACCCCGACCACCTTTCCACCCAATGCCACCCAGACTCTTGCCACAGAGGCCTGCTCCCTCCCTGCTCTGTCATCTTCACACTGTGTCCCTCTTTCCCCAGATCCTGTTTTATACCCTAAACTTTCCTCTATACTCAGCTCCCAGGCTTGTCCTTTTAGTCTCAGCTTCTCCAAGCACCTGCAGGTCCCGGAAGAATTTTCGCAAGTTGTGCTGTAGCAACAGGTGCTGTGGGTCCTGATTGCGACGGCCATACTCGGTGTTCACTTGGTCCAAGAAGTGGAAGCACAGCATGGTGGCCTGGGAACTATCGATTGCCAGTGCAGCTTCCTGCCTGGGGACCAGGAATGGCATCAGTGTCTCGGCAAGGCTGCTTCTGTCCTGAACCCTTCCACAAAACCTCTTCCTGCCTTTTTTTTTTTTTGTAAAGATTAATGAATTGATGTATTTGAAAGGCATAAATTCGTTCTAGTTTTAATATATGTGCTGCCGAAGCGAGCACTGAAAGGCATATTGTACAGAAAAGAGAAGGAGAGACAGAGTGGCTGGTGCTGGGCCAATCTAAAGTCAGGAGCCAGGAGTTTCTTCCAGGTCTCACGTGGTTGCAAGGCTTAAGCCATCCTTTGCTGTTTTCTAGGCCATAAGCAGAGACCTGGATTGCAATTGAAATAGGTGCAACACAAACCAGGACCCATACAGGATGTTAGCACCACAGGAGGAAGGTTAGCTCACTATGCCCCTATGTTGCCCCTCTTCCTGCTTTTGATATCTCCAGGATCCTGGTCACTCTGTCACTCTTTTTATTTATTTATTTTATTTAGGATTTATTTATTTTTATTGGAAAAGCAGATCAGATTATCAGATTTATGAAGAAAAGGAAACAGAGAAAGATCTTCCATCTGTTGGTTCACCCCCAAAATGGCTGTAATGGTCAGAGCTGAGCCGATCTGAAGTCAGGAGCAAAGAGCCTCTTCCAGGTCTCCCACATGGATGCAGGAGTTCAAGGCTTTGGGCCATCCCCAGGCCACAAGCAGAAAGCTTGATGGGAAGTACAGCAGCTGGGACACATGCTGGGGTCTGTACAGTGGGTGTGGATGACAAGAAGGTAAAAGAGAACAGCTCCCCTGTTGCCAAGGACCAGAGGAGCTTCCAGCTGTATGGCAAGGCCTGGAGGATGTCTCTTCAACCACCTTGACAAAGTTCCACCCACTTTTTGCATGGACACTCAAGCACCCTATCAGGAATTCTGTAATCTATTAAGTCATTGTTGTTTGCTCCTGTGAGATGGTTTGTGCAACCTGTGTGAGCTTTGGAGTTAATGTTGCTGATAATGTCTCAGTGAGTGGCCTTTAACAATGTATGCACAGGCGCATTATTAAGCCCATGCCATTTCTGGACACCTTATTGTGTGCCTAACCACTGCCTCAGCATCTGGCCCCAACATGTAGGACACCTTCTGGAAAAGGGCTTGATAAGTATCCTAAGATTAATGAAAATGATCTGAGTAGGAGTAGAAACTGCTATGGTGATAAATACAGTTGCTGGGACCTTAAAGGCTAGCCTGTCTTGGCAATTTCTTTGGAGCATAGGAAATGTATCTGTTTTAGCTGCTTTTATAATTTTTGGCTAGAGGAATTTAAGGTTGATTTTATTAATATTATAAAGATATGCTTTTAATTATTGTTTGATCGTTCATGGGGTTGTAGAGCCTGTAGTTGTAGAGGGATTTAATATTTGAAACTTTAGTCTTGGATCTTTGTTTTATCCCTTGTGACATATGTTTCCCATTAAGTAATGGGTAAATTGTAGAAATAGGAACGTGGTAGGAATATATTACTGATTAGCAGGTAATAGCATGAGTCTTGGCCTTGGAATCCTGGCTATCACTCCATGGCTACTACTGAAGAATGAACAATGGCTTGCTTTGAAGAATATGAATATAGTATTTTGCAGAATTATCTTTAGGGGCACCCGCTTAGCCATGAAATACAAACAGAATGACCAAATGTCTGTGCATGCTCCCTTAGTCGTGAAGTAAAAAGAAAACAATTAAATGTTTGTGCAGAAGTTTGTGATGTGGCTGGGTAAATAAAAAAGGACATCTTCTTGAGCTGTTATGAGGGCACCAAGTCACTGTGTTTGTGTCTCTTTTCGCTGACTCCACACCCCCTTCTCGAGCTCCGAACTTGACTGGAGCTGGCCTCCAGCAGACATGAATCAGTGCCCATATGGGGTCCTGATATTTGCAAGCCATTGAACCATTGAGCCATGGCGCTGGGCCCCATCCTGCTCACTCTTAAAAAGGAACTGGGTCTGGAATTGTGAGGTTGCAGGTTAAATCCCTGTTTGTGATGCTGGCATTCTCTATCAGAGTGCTGGTTTGAGGGTCAGCCACTCTGCTTCTGATCTAGTTCCTTGCTACTGCACCTGGGAAAGCAGCAGAGGATGGCCCAAGCTCCACATGTGACACCTGGATGGAGTGCCAGGCTCTTGGCTTCAGGCTGGATCAGCCTGGCCACTGTGTGACCATTTGGGGAGTGAAACAGCAAATAGAAGAGTTTTTTTTCTTTTCCTTGTCATTCAGCCTTTCAAATAAATAAATCTACAAAACAAAACAAAACAAAACAAAAAAACCCTTCTTTATCCCCAATGATCCAAAAGTCTCACCAGTTCTGGTCTTCAATCCAGGCAGCCAGGTGCTGCCGAATGTCCATTGGCAGTAGACTGTTTGAGTAGAGCTGATGCAGCTCGTCCCGATACGGGCTGTCGAGATCCTGTAGCATCTCCCACTGCGCCATCTGGGCTCCACAACTTCCGTCACAAGACTGGAGCTGAGTGTGTGACTGGACTAAATCATTCACAGGCTGTGACTGCTCCCTTGCACTGTCAAAATTGCAAATCCCATATATCCATAAATACTATTACAGGTATGACACTGAACATATTTATGGGTACTAAGTCATCTTTCAGCACATGCACAGATACATGTTTAAAAAGATTTTTTTAGTTTACTGAAGGGCAGGGTAACAGGGAAGAAGAGAGACCCTCCACCAGCTGGCTTATTCCCCAAATGGCTCAAATAGCCAGGGCTGAAGCCAGGAACTTGGGATTCCATTAGGATCCCCTACATGAGTGGAGGGGGCCCAAATACCTGGGCTGAGACATTTCCTGTTGCTTTTCCAGTGGCTTCACCCACTGCCTTACAGCTTCGGCTCCACTAATTTAAGAAACGTTAATATGTTTTCCCCTTGTTATTTTAAGTGTATCTGTGGCTATGTTTGCTCATACTGGAGTAAAGATCGCTGTTGATCTTAAGTATTTAGTACTTAAATCATTCCTACTGGGACTCGGTGCAGCAGCCCAGCGGCTAAAGTCCTAGTCTTACATGTACTGGAATCCCATATGGGCGCTGCAGGTTCTAATCTAGGCAGCCCCACTTCCATCCAACTCCCTGCTTGAGGACTTGGGGTCCTGCACTTGCATAGGAGACCTGAAAGAAGCTCCTGGCTTCTGGCTGCAGATCAGCACAGCTCTGGCCATTGTGCCTACTTGGAAAGTGAAACAAAGGACAGAAGATCTTCTTCTCTGTCTCTCCCCTTCTCTGTATATCTGACTTTCCAATAAATAAATAAATAAAGCAAATCTTTTTTAAAAATCATCTCTGGGGCCCGGCACGGTGGCGCAGGTGGTTAAGGTCCTCGCCTTGCACGCCCGGGATCCCATATGGGCGCCGGTTCTAATCCCGGCAGCCCCGCTTCCCTTCCAGCTCCCTGCCTGTGGCCCGGGAAAGCAGTCAAAGGACGGCCCAAGGCTTTGAGACCCTGCACCCTGTAGGAGATCCGGAAGAGGCTCCTGGCTTCGGACCGGCATAGTATCGGCCTGTTGCGCTCACTTGGGGAGTGAATCATCGGACGGAAGATCTTCCTCTCTGTCTCTCCTCTCTGTATATCCGCCTTTCCAATGAAAAAATAATAAAAATAAATCTTTAAAAAAAAAAAAATCATCTCTGCTAACTTGGATATTTTTTTTTAGGGACCGAAATGTTCTTGTAGACCAAGCAAGTAGAAAGGACAAACTCGACTGCAGATGATGTATCAAATACTTTTTCACCCTGACTCTAAGATTGTGATACTTTTTTTTTTAAAGATTTACATATTTTTTATTGCAAAGTCAGATATACAGAGAGGAAGAGAGACAGATGAAATTCATCCATCCATTGATTCACTCCCCAAGTGGCCACAATAGCCAGAGCTGAGAAAATCTGAAGCCAGGAGCCAGGAGCCTCTTCTGGATTTCCCACACAGGTGCAGGGTCCCAAGGCTTGGGACCATCCTTGCCTGCTTTCCCAGGCCAAAAGCAGGGAGCTGGATGGGAAGTGGGCCCACCAGGATTAGAATCGGTGCCCATATGGGATCGCAGTGTGTGCAAGGCGAGGACTTTCACTGTTAGGCTACAGCGCTGGGACCGTGTCACCTTTTTGTTTATTTATTTATTTTTGGGCCTGGTGCAATAGCCAAGTGGCTAAATCCTCAGCTTGCATCTGCTCAGATCCTATATGGGCTCTGGTTTGTATCTTGGCTACTCTACTTCCCATCCAGCTCCCTGCCTGTGGCCTAGGAAAGCAGCAGAGGATGGTAGAATGCTTTGGGACTCTGTATCTGTGTGGGAGACCAGTAAGAAGCTCCTGGTTCCTGGCTTTGGATTGGCTCAGCTTTGGCCATTTTGGCTACTTGGGGAGTGAACCAGTGGACAGAAGATCTTTCTGTCTCTACTTCTCTCCGTAAATCTGATCTGCCTTTCCAATAAAAATAAAACAAATCCGTCTACTGGTTCACTCCCCAAGTGCCATAATGGCCAAAGCTGTGTCAATCCGAGGCCAGGAGCCAGGAGCTTCCTTCAGGTTTCCCATGTGGGTGCAGGGTCCCAAGGCCTTGTGTATCCTCTGCCTTCCCAGGCCACAAGCAGAGAGCTGAATGGGAAGTGAAGCAGCTGGGATATGAACTGGAGCCCATATAGGATCCCTGCACTTGCAAGGCAAGGACTTAGCCATTGAACCATCAGGCCAGGCCCAAGACTTACTTCCTGTTGCAGCCTGAGCCTAACAAAACAGACACTTGTAAAAAAAAAAAAAAACAAAACAAAAACCCAGACACTTGTAGTCTAAAAGGGTCACATGGTTTTGGGCAATGCAAAGAAAAACATGAGGAGAAGGCAAGGGCCTGCCCCTCCAGGCATGAATGAGCTGGCTGTCCTCCATCTGGCAAGCAGGAAAAAGGCAAGAGGAGGGCCTGGGTAGGAGTTTCTGGTTTTCCTTTTAGTGCTTGAATGACTAACCTATGTGTCTCTACTGCTTTTAAGAAACAAAACAAGAAATAATAAATGTAAAAAATGAAGAGTTCACACTTCTCGAGCAGCAAGACACAAACAGGAATGCAAACAAGTCAAGCAAAATGCGATCTCGGAACAGAATGCAAATGCTGTGTTAAGTGGCTGCAACTCATTTTCTGCCCATAGTTTGCGTTCAGTAAGCTCTTTTGAGATGAGATGGATTCGTGGTACCATTTTTGCAATCCAGTCCTTCATACTTTTGTATGGGACACAGGTTGTAAATGGTATCTATCTTTAGACGCCTTCTGGGTGAGGATCAAAGCTAACACGGCAGGGACAGAGCTGCATGCAGAGGGTTAAGATGCTGCTTGTGTCAGGGACAACCCACACGAGTGCCAGTCCCAGTCTTGGCTGCTACCCTTCCAAACCAGCTCCCTGCTAATGCACGTGGGAAAGCCCTGCACCCACCTGGCAGACCAGGATGAAAAGTTCTAGCTCCTGGATTTGGAGATGGGGGGGGGGGTGTGGAGGGAGCAGCTAGACCTGGTTGTTGCAGCCTTTCTGGAACGCAAAACAGTGGATGGAAGATCTCTCTCTCTCTCTCTCTCTCTCTCTCTCTTTCCCTCCCTTCCTCTTCTGTACTGTCACTTTGCCTTTCCAATAAATCTTGGGGAAAAAAAAAATCAATAACGTAGCGCTCAGGCAAATACATTGGTTGACATGATTAATCTAATACAGTAACAATGCTAGGTTCCGGCGGAATTCTGACAAGGGGGCGTTAGGGTTGGGGAGATGGGCTGAATAGGCAAGACTCCAATAACAACTTGGAGGAAAAAGTTCTTCGCGGGGCGCAGCCCTGTGGCCAGGCACCCTCACCCCACCGCTCCCCTCGGCACGCCCTCTCAAGGTCCGTACCTGATTAGTCTCGTAGTCCCCGTCCCCTGCAGGGGCTCAGACGCGACTTCGTCACTCCCGAAGGGACCAGCTACCAGGGTCTCCTGCCCACCCTCTGACAACTTCGGCCTGGCATTCGGGTCTGCCCCTTCCGAGTGGGTTTGGTCGGCTGCTGAAGAGCAGCGCTCTGACGTTGCCAAGCCGGCGCCTCGCCACTGGCTGCCATGTCCCCAAGCCCGCCCCCGAGCCGCGAGCTCGTTGGCGTCGCCACAAACCCGTCCTCTCGGCAGGACGGAACAGGCTGAGGCGAAAACACACCGACGGCTCCAGGGATTGGTGAGGAAGCTCCGGGAAGCCCCGCCCAGCGCCTGCGTCAGGGAGGAGTCCAAGGAAAGGAAGTGCACGAGACTCGGGACAGCTGATTTTCGAGAACTCCGGGGCCCGGGCCGCGGAACCGAAACTGGCTGGAGGTTTCTGGAAGCGCTACAAGCTTCGCCGGAAGTGGGGAGACAGAAATTAAATTCTTTGGGATAGGACAGGAATCACTGAGGAAATGAAAGCCAAGATTATTCATTTATTTTGTTGTCAGTGTGCGCCATAACCCCAGCAAGTGGAAATTATCCCCGCGTTGGGGCTTTAAGAACAGAGTGTGCAGGAATGACTAGACACTGCTCAGCAAGCACTACCAGCAGGAGCCTGGCTTCAAGGAGAAGTCCTGTGACTTCCAAACTCCCCAACTTTTAGTAACTCATGTTGTGACATAGTGAGTCAAGCCACTACCTGCAGTGCCAGCATCCCGTATGGACCATTTTGTGTCTCCGCTGCTCTGCTTCTGAAACAGCTCTCTGCTAATAGTCTGTGAAAGTAGTAGAAGGTGGCTCAAATACCAGGGACCTTGCCACCCATGTGGGGGACCTGGAGGAAGCACCTGGCCTGTAGCTGGGGACTTGTGATTTTAGGGAGTGAAATCAGTGGATGGGACATCACTGGCTCTTTGCCTTTTCAAATAAATAAATCTTTTTTTTTTAGAAAAAAATTATTTTTATTGGAAAGTCAGATATACAGAGGGGAGGAGAGACAGAGAGGAAGATCTTCCTTCCAATGATTCACTCCCCAAGTGAGCACAACTACTGGTGCTGTGCCGATCTGGAGCCAGGAGCCAGGAACTTCCTCCAGGTCTCCTACATGGGTACAGGGTCCCAAAGCATTGGGCTGTCCTCAACTGCTTTCCCAGGTCACAAGCACGGAACTGGATGGGAAGTGGAGCTGCTGGGGTTAGAACCAGCACCCATATGGGATCCTGGCATGTTCAAGGTGAGGACTTTAGCCTCTAGGCCACCAAATAAATAAATCTTTTAAACAGATTAGATCCTGGGGCTGGTGCAATGGCTGAACTGGCTAATCTTCTGCCTTGAAGTGCAGAATACCATATGGGGTGCTGGTTTGTGTCCTAGCTGCTCCACTTCCCATCCAGCTCCCTGCTTATGCCGTGGGAAAGCAGTAGAGAATGGCTCAAAGCCGTGGGACAGACCCTGCATCCACATGGGAGACACGGAATAAGCTCCTGGCTCCTGGCTTTGGACTTGCTCAACTTTGGTTGTTGAGGCTATTTGGGAGTAAACCAGCAAATCTGTTTAAGTCTGCCTTTCCAGTAAAAGTAAATGTTTTCTTTAAAAAATATTAAATCCCCATGTTTTATAGCACTGCTATCCTTTGGAATAACATATTAGGGTTTGGATTTTGTACACACATGCACACACACACAGAGGTTGCCAGAATAGGAGGTTTATTCTTTCTGCTGTTTCCACCTTGTTTTAGATCTCCAACCTCAGACTAGTGGTAGCATAGTGAAAAAAGGGGTGGCTCCCATAGTACCTGTGGTAAAAGGAGTGGCTCGGGTATAAATACTAATCAGCCATTTTGGAGCTCCAAAGAGCAGGAGTTTGTGTTTCTTCTGAGTCACTCATAGCCAGGATACCTCCTAAGCCCTGGATGCTGCTCTCAGGCCAAGGAGTGCTGGCCTCTTGCTCAGCATAATAATACTGGATCAGCCGCTGAACCCCGGTCTTAATGACCGGCTTAAGTGCAGTACTGATGGCTAGACCCATGGGGCCTCCCGACAGCCCGAGCATGCCCATCAGCAGATCATAGCCCAGATCCAGGGTGCCTTCCTGGCCCCGCTGGTGGGCCTTGTCTGAGCAGTTGTAAGCAGCGTAATACAGAGCTGTGCCCAGGTTGTAGAAGGTTCCCACTGTGGGCAGCAGCCGTGCCAGACTGTACACACCTTGCTCCCGTTCGTTCTCACAGATCTCACTGGGGAGGGCACGCCGGACCCGCCCCAGGCCTGTCTGCTCCAGGGCCAACAGTCCCAGGGCAGAGACCAGGGCTTCAGTGGACACTTGGCTGTGGGTGCTTCGGTCTGCTTGCTGGAGCTCCTTAAGATGCTGGATGAGGCCACGGGTGGCCTTCACACCACCCCAGCGGTAGAGCTGTGTTTGCAGGGCCCGGGCTTCAGCCAGGCAGCCCATGTTCTCCAGGGCATTCCTTAGAGCCAGGCCAACCATGAATTTAGGGAGAGGCGCCAGGTGACTGAAGCCGGGTAGGGATTGGGGGAGAATGGTCTGGCAGGACAAAAAACCCAAGGAGGACGACTGGGGATACAAGGTTGAGGGGTGGTTTGTCGGCATCCTGGAGGAAGTGGTGTGTACAGAGGCCAGCAGGAGGGCACAGAGAAGCAGCCGTGTGATGGGTTCAAGGCTCCCCATATCTGTAGCAGCAGTCCCTGTAAGAGGAAGGGATAAGACACAAACCTTGTCTGGTGTGGCCACAGTATGAAGGGCGCCCAGCACACAGCCGTTGGGTTCTTCATCCACTGTCTACCTCCAAACTAGTAGTCTCTCTAGGTAAGGACCTAGGAGTCAAAAACGCATCTCAGCTGCTTCCACTGGCTCACCCTCTCCCCCACAGCTTTTCAGGTCACTAGGGACTTTCTCTGTTTTCATTCCACCCTCTTAAAGGGGATCAGCATTACCACACAGCCCAGTCATTGAGAAGTGAGGCTGCCTTCATAGGTTGCTTGGTCCTGTTCTGCCCAGCTCTCTGTCCTACAGGGACGGGAGGTGGGTTCTTCTCCCTGTGACCTGTTCAGGCTGCAATCTCTGCAAATATTTGTTTCATTTGGACTGGCTGTTCAAACTTTGTTCCCTGACCACACACTCACCTTCAATATCTAAGGCCTTGCTCGTCAGCGTTGGCTATCTGTCCCTGCTGTGATCCTGAGCTAAGTCCCAGACAGAATTCAGTGACAGAACCAGAAGCAAATCAGTGCTTAGGATGTTCTCCTTGTATTTTATTTTTTGTTGTTTTTGTTGTTCAGCTTAAAAATTAAGTTAGCAAACTATAGCATCTTGGTGGGCACTAGCACAGAAAACATACATGAGGGAACCCTGTACAGTAGTCTAGCGGCTAAGGTCTTTCCTTTGCACATACCAGGATCCCATATGGGTGCCAGTTTGTGTCCTGGGGGCCCCACTTCCCATCTAGCTCCTTGCTTGTGGCCTGGGAAAGCAGTCGAGGACGGTCCAAAGCCTTGGGACCCTGCACCCGCATGGGAGACCAGGAAGAAGCTCCTGGCTCCTGATCAGCTCAGCTCCGGCCATTGTGATCATTGGGGAGTGAATCATCAGACAGAAGATCTTCCTCTGTGCCTTTTCTCCTCTCTGTGTATCTGACTTTCCAATAATAAATAAACAAATCTTTAAATACGAGGTACATGAGAAGAGGCTAAAATACCTCCTAAGCCTAACAGTTTGATGATTTCAAGGAAAAAATGGAGGAAAATGAAATAAGAAACAGGAGCTGTTGGGGTAGCTGCTTCTAACAATGCCTATATCCCGTGTTAGAATACCAGCTTCGGTCCCGACTGCTCTGCTCCCGATCTAGCTGCCTGCTAATGTGTGCTGGGAAACCAACCAAATGCTTGGGTACCTACCACTCAAATGGGAGGCCCAGCTACAGTTCTGTGTTCCTGGCTTTGGCCTGGCCCAGTCCCTGCCATTGTAGTCATTTGGATAGTGAACCATTAGGGAGAAGGGTTTTCTGTCTCTATTGTTCTGCCTTTGAAATAAATACATTTACTTTATTTTTAATTGAAATAAGATTGATTTTATTTATATTAACCTGAAAAGCAGACAGACAGATATATAGCTGAGCTCACATCTGCTAATTTGCTCCCCAGATGCCTGCAACACCTAGATGCAGACCAGAAGCCAGTCACTCAATCAGATCGCTCATGTAGGTGGCAGGGACCTTTCTACTTGAACCATCAACCCTCAGAATGAGTAGCAGTAAGGAACTGGAATTGGGATCTGGAGCCAGGACTCCAATCCCAGCACTACTAGGGGATGCTGACGGGGCATCCCCAGTGGTGTCTTCACTGCTGTGCCAAATGCTAGCCCCATGATGTGTTTTGTTTTTGAAAAGGTTTGGGGTTGACACCAAAGTGTATCAGATTTAATCTTCTGCCTGTGGCGACAGCCTCCTTCCTATATGGGCATTGGTTCATGTCTCGGGTGCTCCACTTCCGATTTAGCTCCCTAATGATGTGCTTAGGAAAGTAGCAGAAGATGGCCCAATCCTTGGGCCCATGAACCCGTGTGGATGACCCAGAAGAAGCATCTCTCCTCTTTCTCTGTAAAATCTGCCTCACAAATAAAAATAAATAAATATATTTTAAAGAATTGGTTAATGTGGAAAATTTTATGTTACTCGGTTATCACAATGTAGAAAAACTAAACTGAAAAAGGGAAATGAGGCAGTGAGACTTTTTTTTTTTTTTTTTTTTTTAGTTGTAAGAGGTTATTTTTAGATAAGACAGTTTCAGGTGAGGTGGCCTCACAAGGGCACCAGAAAGCAAATGGAAAGGAATCTTATTTTGTGTGTTGGCCTGCTGAGACTGCCAGGACAAAATCCCACTGATGGTAGTATCAACTTTCTGAGTTTCTTTCTCACAGTTGTGGAGACTGGATGTGTGTGTGACAGTGCCGGAAACTCGGGGTTCTCCACCGGGCTGGCAGATGGCTGCTGCTCACCACATGTTCATAAGGCCTTTCCTCCACTCCTGCTGTCGCTTCCCACAGAGGGAGGGGGTGAGGGGAGAGAGAGAGAGAGAACGAGTTCTTCCAGGTGCCATGTACTGGATCACTCCCTAAAGGGCTCTATTGGTTGGAGCTGAGCCAGGAGTCTGGAGCTCTACATGAGTCCTCCATGTGGCTGGCAACACCTGAGTATTTCTGCTGCTTTTCCAGTAACTTTAGCAAAGAGCTGGATTGGAAATGGAGCAGCTGGGACTCAAACTGGCATTCCCACTGGTTGTTGGAGTCACAGGCAGTTGTACCACAGTACCAACATCCTTTCTCCTCTTCCTTCTCTCCTTCTTCTGAGAATAATTTATTTGAAACTCAGAGTGACACTCAGTGGGGGAGAGACAGAATGATAAAGATATCTTCCATCCACTAGTTTACTCCCCAAATAGCTGCAATGGTCATGGCTGGGCCAGGTTGAAACCAGGAACCAGGAACTCCATCTGAGTCTCCCACATGGGTGGCAGTAACTCAAGTCCCTATGTCATTTTCCACTGCCCTTCCCAGGCACATTAGGAGGGAGCTGGATTGGACATGGAGCAGCCAGGACTCGAACCAATGCTCTGGATGTAGGATGCCATTGTTGCAAGAGGCATGCTGGACCACATGCCAGCCATAGTCTTCATGAAGTCACAGTCTTTATAAAGACATAGATCCTGTTGGATTAGACCCCATCCTTAGGATCTCGCTTGACTTTGCCAAAAAGGGCATATTTCAACTATAATCCATGGAGGTAGGGTTTCAATTTTGTGAGAGAACAGAATTTGGTCTGTAGCACCTTGAGACACTATCATGTAATATCAGAAATAAAAACTAACAACATTTCTAAGAAGGGAAATCAGAGCAAAACTTCACTTCCTCTATCTTATAGCCACATTTCAAGAGCACAGTAGGCACCTGCATGGCTAATGGCTGCCATTTAAACAATACAGATATTTAAAAGTGTCCCACAGCCACAAAAAAATGTGCAGTGGTCTAGAAATTGTACCAGAAGTCAGTGCCTAAACTGGCAATTGAGCCTATTTGAATACACATCCAGCCCCTCCTCTCCACCTTCATCAGAGGGTCATTCTCATTCCAACCACCTGGAATTGCAACAGGGCTGTTAGGGCCAATGGGAGTCATTTCTGATTTTTGATGTGTGGATTAGCATGTCTGAAAAATTGGTGGGCTGGTACATCACTCTTCCAGCCCTCCCTGCCCCTCCTTGTTCTCCCCACCCCTGCCCCGTCTTTCTTCTGCTTCTGGGGCCATCTGATCTTGGGGAAATGAAACTTATGTGATAGCAGCCAAAACCTAACAGAATAAAACAAGCCCTCAGGAATGTAATACAAGGAGTCAAGCAATTTTACTATGGAGTACAAAGCCAAACCTTTAAAACCTGCGGTAAGCTGATAGCTGATACATCATATTTGTACTCCTACTGGTTACAGGGGTTTTGGTGTGCTTTTAGAGTTTTCACCAGTAGGGGTTCTGACAGACTGACACACCAACTGTTGAAGACTCCACTTTGTAACTGGGTTTAGGACTTGGAGATGATGGTTAATAACTTTGTAAGTTCTGCTTACCTTATAGATAGTAAATGTGGATGCTAAATTGAACTTTTAAAAAAGATGTATTGGGTTTGGTGCGACTGAAGTCCTCACCTTGCACGCGCTAGGATCCCATATGGGCATTGGTTCTAATCCTGGCGGCCCTATTTCTTATTCAGCTCCCTGCCTGTGGCTTGGGAAAGCAGTTGAGGACGGCCCAAAGCTTTGGGACCCCATACCCGTGTGAGAGACCCAGAAGAAGTTGTAGGCTCCTGGCTTTGGCTTGGTTCACATCTGTGGTGTTCCCATGCCTTCTCCCTGATCAGAGGGTTTTTGCTTTGTTGTAGCAGTCCTGGCTTAGCTATTGAACTCCAGCCTTCACTACAGGTTAAGGCACAGAACTCATTGGTATCTCATAGGTCTAACCTGATCATCAGAACGTCCTAATCAAGGTCAACTGCCCCAGCCCAGCCTTGTTTTTTATTTGACAAACCAGCTCTGAACAACAGAATCCAAAGCCACGCCTGGGTTTGTGGCACACAGCCACATCTAGCCACAGCTGGTCCGCATCCTACCAACACTGCTTGTGCTCATGCCTACAGTGTGTGGTGGAACTGGCATGCTTGCTCTGAACCAGGCTGAGTCCTGTCTAGCAGCTGCACAGACAGCCTAGGCGTTCCCTTGGGAAGCCCCACCTTGTCTGCTATCCTAGTAGTTCCTTATATCTGTTTGCGGAAAGTCTGAGTGGCTTTTTCACAGGCCCAGCCTGGAACAGAAGCTACAGGGTCCAGAGAGCAGGCGGCCTCCAGGGTAGCCTTCTGTGCCAGGTTGTGTCAGGATCCTTGGCAAAAGGAACCAGTGGGTGAGGTTGGACAAAACTTTTGGGAGCAGGGTCTGGTATAGCCAAGAACCAAGGGGGTGGCTGGCTGGATCCTCAGAGGTGAAGAAAAAGGCATCTCCTTGGGAGGCAGGAGACAGGCAGGTCTTGAGCATTCCCAGGTGACCAGCCTATGGCAGAATGGGAGATAGCATGGGATTTCTTCCCCTGGGGGTGTGTTCTGAATGGTGCTGAGGCTCAGTGGAGCCGTCAGCCATCAACTTTCAGTTCAGGTTCCTTTTAACCATCTTTTTATTTCCATTGTGTTTGAAAGGCAGAGACACAGAGTGAGAGCTTCTGTATCCTGATTCACTCTCCAAATGCCTGTGATAACCGGGGCTGAGCCAGGCTCAAACTAGGAAGAGCCAGGAACTTCAATTCTGGTCTCGCAAGTGGTGGTAAAAGTACTGGAGCCATCACCTGTTGAGCCCAGGGGTGTGCGCCTGAGCTGAGAGCCAGGGTTGGCAGCAGAGCAGAAATACAAACCCAAGTAGGCACTCCGATTAGGGGATGTGGGTTTTTCAAGCAGGCAGTTGAAGGCTCTTTGTGTTCCTTTTTAGTTGGGTTCAGGAAATAGGAATAAGAGTCAGTGATGTTTTTCTTGGTATCCCCATACTAGATCAGCAGGGCTCTGGTTGGCTCTACTTGCCCAAATGACCATCCAGCCCAGCGAGAAGTGAGACTGTTTGGCTGAGTGCAGACTTTATCTGATCTGTCCCATGAGGAGAGGAGATGGCTGCTGTCCCTGATGACCTGTCAGGGGACACGATCTCCATAAATACTGACCAGTTGGTATGGACTGCTTAAGCCTTCAGCTTCAGAGGACGTGCGCATATCCTATGTGTCCCTGCTAGTTCCCATCGCCGGCTCCCCAAAGTGACCCCAGAGACCTGGAGTCAGACCATTAGACAGCCATGATCCTGCTACATGTAGTAGCAGCTGTTTATTTCTCTGTGCAGTTACAAAGGTCCACATACACCAGTTATATAGCACGTGGTGGTGGGAGAACTACAAAGTATAAGGCAGAGGAGGAGGATGAGGATTACAGCAGACTGCGTAGTCAGCGCCCACTAAATCCACAGTATTTAACAACTGGAAAGAAGAGACACTTGGGAAGAACTAGGGCCCAGGAGCACAACAAGAGGAACAAAGCTTTTCAGTAGCCTACATGTTTCAGCACTTGGATCAAACCTGTCCTAAGCTTTCCCCAACATTTCTAACCACCTGTGGTGCCCAGGCCCTGCACACAGACCTAGCAGAGTCAGTTGAGAAAGTAAATGTGATGTCTAGTCCAACCATGTCCAAAAATAGTTGAAAACTGCATGTACTATCTGCCCTGTAATATGTATCACAATGGGTATCATACGGATGATGAAGTATTTCTGATCTTCTATAGACATTGTGAAGTTTCTCATTTCAGGGCTTTTCATCACCTGCGTGGCCACATCTTCCAACTGCTTCCAAGACTCCTGTGTGCAATTCTGAGAGACACTGAGGGCAGCAGCCTTCAGCTCTGTCGCCAGCTTGGAGGAAGGGAGCTTCTCGGCGTATTCTGCTATCAGCACTGTCGTCTCATGGAGCACCCGCCCCTGTGGGGAGTTGCACGCCTCTGGGAGGCTGACTGAGCGCTGGGTCCGCCTCAGCCCCCCTGGGGAGCCCCCCATGTCCATCAGCATCATCCCAAGGTCACTAATCCCTTCTTCACTGCGCTCTTGAACCGCCTGGATGAGCATCTCGGTGATATTCTTTCCTCTCATCCTCAGGAAATGCTGCTGCAGGTTGTGGAATTCTGGTAGGCAATCAACATTTTCTAGGGCCACCTTCAGCATTAACTGGGATAGGTACTTGGGGAGAGGATCTAAGGAGGGGCTAAGGAACAGGTACACGAGTTCCTGGCAGGTCCTGGGACCTGGGGGAGGGATCTGGCTGGAGGGCACGCTTGGTGGAGGCTCGTGGTCCACACCAGATGACTGGGAGATCAGAGCACCACTGTGGACGTTTCTTGGAAAGGCAGCCACTGGGATCAGCAAGACATGGAGGAGAAGCAGCACAGCCAGGATCATGATGGGGCAGAGAATGGCCTGGCTGGAAAGAAGCAGGGCATGAGCGGGTGAGTAGGGAGCCCTTAAAGTGTGCCTCGGCCTGGGAACCCTTACTCACCCCGAATATGCTCTGTCTCCTTTAGTGGCTGTGGATGATCCTCACCAGATCTGGGAGGCTCAAGTCAGAGCAGGGAGTGGCCACCAGCACATCCTTCGCTTCAGTGCTCCCTCAGGCAGAATGTCTGCTTTCTAGCTCTCACTTCTCTACCCCAGTCCAAAAAGAGTTGATGTTCTCTGGAAACATGCAGCAACTGTTCACAAATATTTATCCACCTCGGTTTACCCCAGACTTTGTTCAGCAGTCTCATCTTTGTCCTGAGTGGACCAGCACTTTTTTCTTTGATGGCTCCTGCTATTTTTGGCTCAGGTCCTGGTCACCCTAAGCTTTTATTCTCAATCTAAATTAGGATCAGGAGATGCTCTTGTGTGGCTTCTAGAGGATGCGGAGGGAGGGGGAGGCAGTGGAGATCCATAAATCTTAAACACTGCTCTTCTACTATTGACCTACTGGGTGGGCAACTGGAAAGATGAGAATCTGCTGGTAAGTCAGAGCAGTACCTCAGGTCTTAGCTGTGTTATTCCAGTGCCACACCTAAATTGTATACATTCCTTACTATGTTTTTCTTTTTTTTTATTTGTTTGAAAGGGAGAGTTACACAGGAAGAGAGAGATCCTCCATTTGCCATCTCTAAATGGCCATAATTGCCAGATCTGGATCAGGCTGAAATCAAGAGCAAGGAATTCCACCCTGGTCTTCTTTTCAAGATTTTTATTTTTCTTAAAGCTTTATTTGTTTTTATTGGAAAGTCAGATATACAGCGAGGAGGAGAGACAGAGAGGAAAATCTTCTGTCCGATGGTTCACTCCCCAAGTGGCCGCAAAAGCCGGAGCTGAGCCAGTCCAAAGCCAGGAGCTTCTTCTGGGTCTCCTGTGTGGGTGCAGGGTCCCAAAGCTTTGGGCCGTCCTTGATTGCATTCCCAGGCCACAGGCAGGGAGCTGGATGGGATGCAGGGCCTCTGGGATTAGAACTGGTGCTCATATGGGATCCCGGTGCGGTCAAGGTGAGGACTTTAACCGCTACGCTTTTGTACCAGGCCCAGATGGCTAGAACTTTCAGTCTCATCCCATCTCCACCCTAACTGGGACGGAGGTAAGCAAATAAACCAAAGGCTAATGATTTCATCAGTCATGCCTATGTAATAAACCTTCCATAAAAAACCCAAAGGATTGTCTTCTGAGCAAAGGCGCAGGCAGCATAGCCTGAAACGTGGTGGGACAGTAGGACAGCCATGTTGGAAAGGAATGCTCAGGTTGTGAAGTGGGTAAAGCCTCAAGATGCAGCCATCACACCCAGCCAAGGCTGGCAAGGATCCTACTCTAGAGAAAGCTTCACCCCACAGAGGCTGGGGAGAACTTTATCTGTTCATGGGGAAAACAACCAAATCCCAGGAACAGACAGTCCAACCTCATGGATTACCCTGGAATGTTCCCAACGACCTCTTCTTCACCCAACCTCAGCTGAAAATGAGAGCCAGAAAACTCATTTAGCTATCCAAGAGCAGCTAAAGATGTGATATTTACAACATCGCCTCTGCCCCAGGCTCTCAAACCAGCTTTTTCTCTATTTGTAGCTCCTGCTTCTTTCTGCCCTAGACAAAGAATTATGGATTCATTTTTTTTCTGTCTGTGATAAGGAAAGAGTGGAAACAGAAACAAAAGGTAGGCTGTTGGCTTCTCTTAACCCTAAAATATGTTAAGTTCTTCCCAAAACCCAGCTATGCACTTCAACAGATTGGCAAATCAGACTGGGGTTGGCCACTTTGTTTCAATTACTGAATTAATTCAATTCAGTTACCAAATTAATGAAACAATTACCAAACACTGTTTAATCCAATTACCAAACACTGACCAAATTCATTACCTGCCTGTAGAACACTGCATGCCAAGCCTGTCTCCTGTGGAGACAGCAACAATCAAGCTCGACCTGGCATGTGGGTGATGACAGGAAAGACAAGAGGACAGGGGTATGCGGTGACACCCCCACCGACCATGCTGGGCACCTCCCCTGGCTGGGGATACCAACAGGCTCCAAGCAGAAATCCTCACAGAGCAGGACCCCCTGCAATTCACTCTCTTCTCTCATTGGCCAAGGGTCTCTAATAGCCAAAGTGGATGAATCTGAGAAGAGAGGACTGAGCCTCTAGATTGCTGGTGGGCGCATTGTGACAGTGGGAGAGGCAGGACCACTGCAGAGGAGTCCGACACCATTGCCTAAAGGCCTCGGGCCCTAAGACCACGACAGAGCCCAGGACTCTACTGCTTCTGTCTGTAAGCGGCATCGGGATTTAAATTCACCACAGCCAATTGGGCTACTGTTGTCCTGAAGCCTCTGGCTCAGTCATCCTCATCTTCATCTTCAATCTGGAACCGTTTCTTCTTGTGAAGGCTTCTTGGAGCTCCCACTTCTGGTGCTACAGGAATGACAGTGGGGAGAGAGTGAGCGCCCAGACACATCCGAGGGCAGAAAGGTGCCAGGGCCTGTCACAAGTGTGACAGAGACTACAAAATGCAGGTTGGGTCAGACTCACGACCTCTGCGTCCCTCCTTACCTCCCTCCTCTTCCTCGTCACTGTCCAGGAGGTGTCGTTTTGTGGGTGCTACTGTCAGGTGCTCTTTTTCCTCATCAGTCCCGTCCTCTGAAATGACCATAAAGGAACATAGATCAGGGGCCTGGGCTACAGAGATGACTCATCTCTGTGAACTAATGCAGAGTTCAATCCTCCAGGCCTCATGTTAATGGCATGAATGGGGTGGGAATTTAACCTAATGAGGGTGTGGAGGTGAGCCCTTTGGGAGTGACTGACTAAACCATGTAGTGGGGTCCCATGTAGCAGAGGGACAGAAATGGACATGTTCACCTGCCACAAGGCGCTGCGGTCCAGAGGAGCCCTGCGAGAACCTGCAGCATGGCGTTCCTGCTTTGCATCCCCAGAACCACAAGCCAATGCCAACTCTTCTCTATGTACAATTAGGCTGTATAAGGTGTTTCATTACAACAGAAACCTGAGAAGTGGGCTTTAGAGCCTAGAGCTTAAGATACCTCCATCCCACCTCAGAGTGCCTGGGGTTGACTCTGCCTGTCACCAACGTGGACACCTGAATCCCATATCCAGCTCCTGGGCTTGGCCCCCCATCCCCGTTACCGTAGTTGTGAGCATTTAGGGGAACAAATCAAGAGATGAGAGCTCTGTCCCTCTGCTTCTCATATTAAAAGAAAAAAAAAAAAAGAAGATGACAAAGATGAAGACGAAGAAGGTGTAGAAATCCTTTAAACGAATCATGAAAATCTGACAGACCCACAGGCCCTTCCATCCTCACAATAACTCGAGGGCCTCTGCACACAGTAACACAAGAGCAGTCACGCAATTACCCTCTGGTGCTGCCGGTCCAGCTTTCTGTTTGCGGGCCACCATGAGGGCCTGCAGGGGCTCAGCTCGGGGCGCCCTCTGCTGCTCCTCCACCGGGGCTCGCTCCCCAGGGCCCGTAGGGGTTCCCTCTGGTTGCAGCTTCTCCTCCTCTGCCTCTAGTTGACTCAAAGAAGCGGCTGCTCGCCGCAGCTGGGTGGGACTCATCTTGGCTGGAATTCTCCAGAAAGTTTCCTGCAGGGGCAGAGCACTGACAATGACAGCAAAGAAGAGGAACAGCCTCCACTTTACCAGATTTTTGGTATTTCTCATTGAATGAATATGACCCTTTTTTTTTTTTAAAAGGATTTATTTATCTTTATTGGAAAGGAAGAGTTAGAGAGGGAAAGAGAAATGAGAGAGAGGGCATGTGCAAGGTGAGGACATTTTAGATACTAGGCTACCGTGCTGGGCCCTATGTCTGCTTTTAAACAAAAATTTATTTATTCAGGGCCTGGCGCCATAGCGTAGTGGTTAAAGTCCTCACCTTGCATGCACTGGGATCCCATATGGGCACCAGTTCTAATCCCAGCAGCCCCGCTTCCCATCCACATCCCTGCTTGTGGCCTGGGAAAGCAGACGAGGACGGCCCAAAGCTTTGGGACCCTGCACCCACATGGGAGACCCAGAAGAAGCTCCTGGTGGCTGCTTCTAACCATTGATTAGAAGATCTTCCTATCTGTCTCTTCTCCTCTCTGTATATCTGACTTTCCAATAAAAGAAAAATAAATCTTTAAAAAAAATAAATTTTTTTTTCATTTTTGATTATATTTTTGACAATCTTTATATAGTTAATTAGGGTATAAAGGTTTGAGGGCTACAGGAAAGTGGGTAAGACTATTATTTCCATATTGGATGAATCTTAAAAAAAAAGATTTATTTATTCAAAAGGCACAGTCAGGGCCCAGCACGGTAGCCTAGTGGCTAAAGTTATTGCCTTGCAAGTGCCAGGATCCCATATGGGAACCACTTCTAATCCCAGCAGCCCTGCTTTCCATCCAGTTCCCTGCTTATGGCCTGGGAAGGCAGGAGAGGACGGCCAGGGCCTTGGGACCCTGCACCTGTGTGGGAGACCTGGAAGAAGCTACTAGCTCCTGGTTTCGGACTGGCTCAGCTCTGGTCATTGTGTACACCCGGTGAGTGAATCATCAGACGGAAGATCTTCCTCTCTGTCTCTCCTCCTCTTTGTATATCTGACTTTGCAATAAAAATAAGTCTTAAAAAAAAAAGATAAGAGTTGGGGTTGACACTGTGGCATAGCCAATTTTGCTTTCACCTGCAACACTGGCATCCCATAAAGATGTCACTTTGGGCCCAGCACAGTAGCCTAGTGGCTGAAGTCCTCAGCTTGCACGAACTAGGATCCCATATGGGCACCACTATGGGGTGTGTGTGTGTGTGTGTGTGTGTGTGTGTGTGTGTGTGTGTGTGTGTTTGTGTGTGTGTTTGGGACACTGCAATGGAAGGCCCCGCACATTCCACCACTTGGAGCCATGAGAAAGCCTGCTGATGAAGAAAGGAAAGCAGTCCAGGCTGACTATGGTGTAGAGTAGGGGAGTGGGTGGCATGGCCATGAGGCTATGATGACTGGCCAAGGTAAGCTACATGCAGACTATGGACTCCTTTCTGCAAGCAGTGGAGGGCACTGTCAACTGTTCGGGACAAGGAGGTGGATAATCAACACTGTATGTTAGTAAGATGAGTCTTAGGGTGCTGGGGAAGATGGACTTAGCAGAAGGGGAGACTGGAGACAGGGAGGCTAGGAGGACAGCTGCTGCAAGAGCCTCAATCAGAGACAGGAAGGACACCAATGTGGAGAAGGTCAATGACAGTGCAGGCAACAAGGACGGAGAGGGCCAAGCAGGCGACAGGGGCGAATGCCAGGAGAGGGACAACACACCTCAGCCAGCACCACACCTGGAATACTTACCTGCCCCGATGCTGGCGGCCGAATCCCGAGCTTGCGCAACAGTCGCTGAAACTGTTCACTTTCCATCGCTTCCTCATTTTCTTCAGTCAGTGGCACCAATGGGACTGCCTGGGAGCAGCCTATGACAGGGTCAACACTCAGTCGACAGGACTGGCTACCTACTCCATGACTGGTCCCCAGTGGCTTCCGGTCCTCCTACAACCATCCTTCACTCACCATCTTCCTCCCTGTCGTCTGCTGCTCGGCTTAGACAGCTCTGGAGCCACAAGATGGGGGCAGAGAAGCCTAAACGTAAAACAGAAGCTCCAGTTTGCTCTCTGCTCCCAGCTCCGAGCCTGTGATGCCACTCCCAAGCAAGGGCCTCACCTTCCTGACGCAGTCCTCGACCCAGGCTCTCGGCCAGAGACTCTGAGCTCCCCTGGATCTGGCCACCTTCCCAGTCCTCCCCTGTCTCCTCATCTCCGTCACTCTCCTCCTCTGGCAGATTTTCCTCCTCCTCCTCTTCTAGGTCTTCCTGGGACAAATCTTTCGGGGAAGTACCCCCGTTGGGCTGCAATTAATCATGGGGAGGGATGGAAAAGGAGGCAATGTAAGAAACTTAGTGGCATCTTCCCACACTGTCTGGGGAGTGCACCCAACCTGCAGGCCCAGGGCCAGACTGTTACCAGGCCAGAGGGGGCTGCTTTCTTGCGCCGTTTCTTGTACAGTTCCCGCCGCTCAGCCACCAGCCCCAGTGCCAGCAGTTTATCCACAATTCGGGCCCGGGAGCGTTTGGCTGTGATGTTCTTCATGATGTGACCCAGGATGTCTGTGGGGAGCAGGTGTTTGAGGACCCGAGAGCAGCAGGGGGAAGGAGACAGGAAAGGAAGTCAGAAGCCATCTGGGAGGAGGACGGCCTCACTTCACCCCAGGGTGATGCTTCCAGACGTGGCAAATGGGCAGAAGGGCTGGCGTGTGCTCCCCTGGGGAGGAAGGAAAGGAAATCAAATAACATGGTGGGGCTCTGGCCTCGGGGCCTCCCCACACTCACCATCCGAGTCCTGAAACTCCTCAAAAAGCCGCCGCAGCTCCAGCTCCTGGTCCTCCGTCCACAGCACAATGCGTGTCCCTTTCCTGCTGTGGGAGAGTCAGCAGAGAGGGCCCCAGGAGAGGACTGTGTCTTCCCTACTCCCTCCCAATGCCATGCACAGTGCGTGCCCCTACCTCTGGAAGTCCTTGATGCTGTCGGCCAGCCCTAGCCGTACCAGGTGATGGATGACCTGCTTGCGCGTGCGAGGCACAGATTTCAGGCGTGCCAGGATGGCTTCCACCACGTCCTCCCCTGGGATAGACAAGGAGTGGGGCAGTGAAGAAAGTGTCCCGGATCCCTGGCTGCCCCCTTTACAAGCACTCTGGGTTGCAAGGCCTCACACCTTCCACATCCTTGTGGGCAAGGTACAGTTCCTGAAGCTGGGCTTCCTCCTCAGGGCTCCATACAGGTGCCCGGCGACTGGATGTCCTATAGGGCGAAGAGACAGAGTACAGCATGGAGGTGCTGGCCCAGAAGAGCAAGGAGGGTGAGGCAGGGAACTGGAAGGAGCCGGGTAGCAGAGGTCTCTGTTGTGCTTCCCCTCCAGGCCCGGCCCATGCAACCAGATGTTCCCGTGGCTAAGAGCATCATGGGAAACAGAGAGGAGGTGAACAACTAAGGGAAAGAGGACACATGTTATTTCTTTGAATGCTTGTGGCTTCCTAGCACTCTTGGGGTGAAGGGACTCCCACCAGCAACCCCTGTGGGCAGGCAGGTGAAGAGGAGATGAGCAACCTGGGAACTTTAGGCTCCAGTCCCTGCTCCTCTTGGGTAACCCTGGGTAAAGCATTTCTCCATCTGGGCCTGGTTTCTTACCAGTGACAGGGGAAATACAATTTGCAAGCTCCACCAGGTCTGACACCAGGACTCTTGCCTTATCAGTGCCCCCTGGTCCATCGTCAAGCTCACCCACTGTCCAGGGAGCCATAGCCCTCTGTCATCTCTCGCACCACGGCTGTGTTCTTCCAGAACAGCAGCTCCACAAAGGCTTTCTGGTTGATGGCGGCCAATGCGAAGAACTTGCCCACGATGTACTTGGCAAAAGTCACCAGCTCCTGTAGTACAGGGAGGCTGTTGGGAGGCCTGTGGCTCAGACGTAGCCATATGGCTAGCTTCTGGTGCCTTTCTCCCCCTACTCCCAGCTGCCCCATCCCCACTCTGTCTCTTTTTTTCTCCTTTCTCCCAAGCTTTCAGCCTGCCTGCCTGGTCTTGTCATCCTCCAGCTGAGGACATCTGCCAGCCTCCTTTCTTTCTTGAAGGGGGGTCTATTTACCCTGGGGACTCTGATGACCCCCCATACCCCTGGGTTCCTCTCACTTTGTAGGCTTCAGCAGCAGGGTCACTGAGCAGGCGATTGAAGAGGCAGAAGATTGAGAGTTGGAAGAGCAGGGCTTCCATCTTGAGGTCATGGGCCAGCCGGTGCAGCATCTTGACGGCACAGTGGTTCGTGTGGGCACTGTTCTGCTGGTAGCTCCGCAGCAGCAACACATAGGCTCGCACGACGGTGGAACAGGCGAAGCTATGGCAACACAGGCACAGAGAAGATGTCAGCCCCAGCACTGCCTGTTCTTGTGATCGCCACCCTGGGTACCAGCACAGCCCTCGTGGCTCGCACCGTTTCAGGTAGTCCATGAAGTTAAATTCTTTCTCAGACACCTGGACCTCTTGCAACTCTTCCTCTTCCTCCATCTCCTCTTCCTCCTCTTCTTCCTCTGGCCCATGTTCCTCTCCCCCTGGCTGCCCTACAGAAAGGTGAAGGTTACTGGGTCTGCATTACCCTGGTGCTGGAAAAGAGCTTGCAGCAGACAGGCGGAAGGGACTGGACACTCACGGGGCAGCGGGGCGTAGAGGATTTCTTTCAGCAGCTGGATTTCCTCCTCTGGGGAAATGTCTGGAGAGCCGAACACATCTCCTTCTGGCCACACCTCCCTGGAACACAAGAAAGGAAAAGAAAGCTTTTTCACATATATACCTGGCCCCAGGAGATCTGACATAATTTCAAGAGGGAGAAGGAATTTAAATCCCATTCACATGTCAGCTAGAAAAAAATAAAAAGGATACAAGCTAGAAAACCTTGCCCCCAGGCCACACTGCAATAACAATCCAGTAAGAGCAAATTGCAAATGATGTAGATGTCTGTCTAAATGTTTGACATGTAGCTCACTGACTGTCCATACTTATGTAAGGGTGTTTTAAAGCCACCAGCAATCACAGAAATACATCTGGTAAAAAATTATGCGCTAGACATATTAAGAAGTAAATATGTATATCAGTGTGCAAAGTATTTCATTTTTTTGTGAAAGGAGAAATACATAAGATGTCCATAAGATACAAATAATGTCCATAAGATACAAAGAAATACATAAGATGACAAACAAAAAAAACTGGGAAGGCTATTTTTTTAAAATGTTAATGATAGTTACCCTTGGCTACCAGCATCATATCTGTTCCCCCACCCCTCTATCCCAATTTCCTAATTTACTGTGCTTTCTGATATTTCTCAAAAATTAATCAAACGGGTGGGCAGTTGGCACATTTGGGATGCCCACATTCCGTATTCAGGTTGCTGGGTTTGAATCCCAGATCCAATTCCAAACCAACTTCCTACTAACAGGACATCCTGGGAGGCAGCAGGTGATGTTTGGGTGCTCCAGGCCCTGCAGGAGATTATCCCAGGCTCCTGGTTTTACCTTGACCCAATCCTGACACTGGTAGGCATTAGGGATGGAAGATTTCTCTGCCTCTCTCAAATAAACACAAACCCACCAAAACTCTCCAAGAGGCAGTACTGAGCATAGAATCCTGGGACCTTGGAAGGGACTGTGTTTTTTTTTTTTTTTTAAGACTTATTTATTTTTATTGCAAAGTCAGATATACAGAGAGGAGGAGAGACAGAGAGAAAGATCTTCTGTCCAATGATTCATTCCCCAAGTGACCGCAATGGTTGGAGCTGAGCCAATCTGATGCCAGGAGCCTCCTGAGTCTCCCACATGGGTGCAGGGTTCCAAAGCTTTGGGTTGTTCTCTACTGCTTTCCCAGGCCACAAGCAGAGAGCTGGATGGGAAGCGGGGCAGCCAGGATTAGAACTGGCACCCATATGGGATCCTGGCATGTTCAAGGTGGGGACTTTAGATGCTAGGCCACCATGCCAGGCCTGAGACTGTGTTTTTTAAGACTTACTTATTTATTTGGAAGAGGAGGGAGGGAGGAAGGCAGAGGGAGAGAAGAGAGAGAGATCTTCCATCTAATGGTTCACTCTCTCCAAATGGCCACAATAGCCAGGGCTAAGCCAGGATGAAGTCAGGAGCCAAAAACTCCATTTGGGCCTTGGCATGTGTATGGCAGAGACCCACATACATCTACTGCTTTGACAGGTGCTGGATTTGCAGGAAGCTGGATCAAAAGCAGAGGAAGAGTACTTGGAGTTGCAGCATAGAGGGTAAAGCCATCTCTATGTTAGCTACCTGTTTGTGTCCTGGCTACTCTATTTCTGAACTATCTTCCTGTTAATGGCCTGGAAAAGACAGTAGAAGATGGTCTAAGTATTTGGGCCCCTGCATTGCCATGGGAAACTTAGATGAAGCTCTTGGCTCCTGTTTTTTTTTTTTTTCTTAAAGATTTGTTTATTTTTATTACAAAGTCAGATATACAGAGAGGAGGAGAGATAGAGAGGAAGATCTTCCTTCCAATGACTTATTCCCCAAGTAAGCACAACATCTGGTGCTGTGCCGATCCGAAACCAGGAGCCAAGAACTTCTTCCAGGTTTCCCACATGGGTGCAGGGTCCCAAGGCTTTGGGCTGTCCTCGACTGTTTTCCCAAGTCACAAGCTTGGAACTGGATGGGAAATGGAGCTGCCGGGATTAGAACCGGCGTCCATATAGGATCCCGGCGTGTTCAAGGTGAGGACTTTAGCCACTAGGCCATGCCGCCGAGCCCGGCTCCTGTTTTTGGCCTGGGTCAGCACTGCCTATTGTGGTCACCTGAGGATTGAATCAGCTGTTGGAAGCCATCTGTCTTTCTCTGCAGCTCTTTCAACATAAATAAATTACATCTTTCCTCTCTCTCTCTCTCTCTTTAAAGATATATTTATTTTTATTGCAAAAAGATATACAGAGAGGAGGAGAGACAGAGAGGAAGATCCTCTGTCTGTTGATTTATTCCCTAAGTGGCCACAAGGCTGGAGATGAGTCAACCAAAAGTCAGGAGCCTAGAGTATCTCCCAGGTCTCCCACACAGGTGCAGGGTCCTAAGGCTTTGGGCCGTCTTCAACTGCTTTCCCAGGCCACAAGCAGGGAGCAGGATGGGAAGCAGGGCTCCTGGGACATGGACCAGTGCCCACATGGGATCCCGGTGTGTTCCAGGAGAAGACTTCAGCCGCTAGGCTATTGTGCTGCCCCATCCTTTTTAATTTAGGAATGAGAACTTGAACCAGGTACTCTGATACAGCATGCAGCCATGCTATAAAGGGACCTACTGACTTTATCTTTTTTTAAGAAAAAGATTATTTTCTTACTTATGTATTTAATTGAAAGAGTGCTGGTTCACTCCAAATGGCTACAACAGCAGGGGCTGATGTTGGTTCAAGTTAAAACCAGGCGCCCCAAATTCTATCCAGGTCTTCCACATTGGTGGCAGGGCTCCAAACATTTGGGCTACCCTTAGCTGCCTTCCCAGGTGCTTTAGTAGGGACCTGGATCTGAAGTGGAGCAGTTAGGACTTTAGCCTGCACTCCAGTACAGGAGGGGGCTTTCTCTTTTAAACTCTAAGAACCCTGTATCCCAGCCAATGTGTCCCCAGAGTCCAGGGATGGGTGGGTAGTGTTCTTACCGGGCCGACCTCAGGAGGGTCAGAGCCTGCGGTGCCTGGCCAGCCAAGAGGCAGTCTTGGACCCGCACCATGGCTTCTGCCCGCTGCTCTTCCACAGGCACCTCTGAGGCCGCATCAAAGGGAACCACGGAGTCCACACTGAGCTCAGATTTCTAGAGAGAGACGAAGAAGCTGTGGGAGCACAAGGGTAGGGGGCAGCCCAATCTTGGGCCAGCGCATTGCCCTCAAGAAACATCAGGTTTTTATAACCACCCACCTGGACACAGCATTGTAACTGCTCAACCAGGGCTGGCCACGCGGCTTCCAGCTCCCCTGGGCTACTTGGGGCATGACCAGAAGCAGCAGCCTGATCTGGGGCTTTCTTCTTCTTCTTTCTCTTCTTCCGTTTGTTCTATGGGAAAAAGAACCATAAGAAGATGGCAGGAGGGCTAAGGAAGTCTTTTTTTCTCATCAGTGTCTTATCTAGTACTAAACTGGTGAATTGGACACTCACAGGGTGTCCATGATGGACACATCATAGGCAACAGTAAAAGTGTCTTTTTTTTTTTTGCCTCTGAGTAAGCTCAAACTCAAAAAAAGCCATGGCAGGATAGGCTTCTTGGGTCGCCACATTTTACTGGTTGTCTGGTTTGAGCCCTGGCTCCATTCCAGATCCCAGATTCCAGATTCCTTCCAGTGTGTGCCCTAGTAGGCAGCAAAGTGATGGTTCAAATCTCCTGGGTTTCTATCAATCATGTGGGAAGACCCAGATTGAGCTCCCGGATCTTGGCTTTAGCCTGGCTCAGCCCTGGCTGTCATGGGCATGTGGGAGATGGGACCATTGGATGGAAGATCTGTCTGTCTTCTAAATCAAATCAAATAATTAAAAGTAAAAAAGCCACTGCAAGACCTAGAAACAGCACTGACTCATTTTGTGGGCCAGAAAGCGCCTGCCAAAAGCAGAGATCTCTTAAAGATGATTTGCCACAAAGATCAGATAAGATACATGAAAATAAGGCTTTACAAACTGCAAAAGTAAAGCCTGCAATTTTGGGGGGGGTGGGGGTGGGGGCGGGGTGAACATTTTGGAAAAGTAGGAGACCGAGTCAATACCCAAATCCTGCTCCCCTCATGTCACAGCTGTGGACCAGTTCTTGGGTAGTTACTCAAAAACGTCTTTGTGGGTACTATAAAGTCACAGAGGAGGGATTAGGGGACCCTGAAGGTTCATTTCCTATTCAAAGAACTTCTAATTGAACCTGTCAAAAGTCAGGAGGCCAGCAGATCTGGCCAGATGCAGATGCAGGTCATTTACCACGACAATCTTGCACAAACCGCCTCACTCCTTTGTGCCGAATGCCTTAGTGCTGATGTGATGGTTACACAGAAAACAGGACCGAGGAGGTCTGATGTGGAGTGAGTACTCAATAACTGACAGCATGCTTCATGACTGACAGCACCGTGGAGCCCTGAGCTGCCTCACTGCCGTGAGGGCCCATTTATGTCCAGTTCTGGGCGATTTATTAAATTGCAGCAACTGGGATTACAGGAAGGTTCAGGCAAGGAATCTGGGTGTTAATCAAGCAGAATCTCTGTGTCTCCAGGACACAAAGTCCTTGTGGTTTTCCTCTCATGATAGACTCTTTTCCCTGAGTATTCAATTCTAGGCTCAAGGATAGGTAGTCCCAGCCCAGCTTTAGGGTTTCAGGGGCTGTCATGAGCAGCCTGAGTTTGTTCTATCAGTAATAATGCAGAACTGAATTCCTGACCTCCCAGCTTTCAATTTCCACCTCATTCCAACACTTCGGAAGTACAAGGGTATTCCACATAGCTCACGGAAGAAAGAACAAAGAGATAAGGGGTGTGTAATTGGCATAGCCAAAATTCCAGCTTCCTGATAATGTGCACCCTGGGAGACAGCAGAGATGGCTCAAGCACGTGCCAGAGACCTGGACCGAGTGATCCTAGACCCCTAACTTTGGCCTGGACCTGTCCTGACCACAGGTTATGGACAAATGGCAAGTGAACCAGTGAACAGGAGAGGTCTGTCTGCCTCTCAAATAAATAAATCTTTTTTTTTTATTTTTTCATTGGAAAGGCGGATATACAGAGAGGAGAGACAGAGAGGAAGATCTTCCATCCGATGATTCACTCCCCAAGTGAGCGCAACGGGCCGATACTATGCCGATCCGAAGCCAGGAGCCTCTTCCGGGTCTCCCACACGGGTGCAGGTTCCCAAAGCTTTGGGTCGTCCTCGACTGCTTTCCCAGGCCACAGGCAGGGAGCTGGAAGGGAAGCGGGGCTGCCGGGATTAGAACCGGCGCCCATATGGGATCCCGGGCGTGCAGGGCGAGGACCTTTAACCACTTGCGCCACCGCGCCGGGCCCTCAAATAAATAAATCTTAAGGAAGATAGTTTTATTTTTTACAAAAAAATTTAAATCCCTGCATGTGTACAGTTTTGAAAAATTTCATTAAAAAAAAAAAAGCCTTGGTTTCCAAATGTTTTTGTAGCAAAAAACCAAAACAAAACAAAAAACAACAAAAAAACCCCTTATCTTCAAATCCCACTTTTCCAGAAGCTTTCTGAAGTACCAGGATATATGATACATAATTGCCAAGTTGTGAAACTATGAGTCCCCAGGGTTCATGTGCACATAGTACGTGTTTAATGCATGAATTGTGATATTTGTGTAGAATAAGGATTCTTGCAATGAGAGAAGGAAACTGGTCGACCCTCATCCTCTCGCCCTCTAGCTCACAGTAGTGCCAACCATAAGCTGTGGAGAACGTGAGGAGGAAGAGACCCTGTCCCTTACCCTGCCCTCATAGCTCTTTCCACATTCCGGGGCCTGCCCATACCTGCACAATCAGGTTCCCACGGTTCCGACAGAACCGCTCCAACATCTTAAGGAAGAGGTGGGTAGTTTCCACCAGGTCCCGGAGGTATGAGCGGGGCTGCCACCTCTCATCAAACTTCCGGAAGAGTGCCAGAAACAGCTCTCGGTACTCCATCACGTAGAAAATGTTGTCTAGGGAAGGGGGAAGAGAAGGGGATGGAAGGACTAGTCTGAGAGTGTGGGAGAGGAGAGACACACAAAGCTGGGACTAGGAAGGAGGAGCCCAGTCAGGAGGAGGGCGGGCCAGGGCCTCACTCTTGATGATACGGCTGCTCTCCCTCACAGCCTCCTCTGGGGACATGTCCATCTCATTCACTGTGGCCAGCAGCTCCTGATAGGCCTTGAGAGCCAAGTGCATCCTGGTAGTTGAGGGAAAGAGGTAAAATGGAGGACAAATCAGGGCACAGCTCATAGACCAGCAGCTGCCCAGTCCCAAACCACAGTGACCTTGGAGAGCTGGGTTCCCAGTGTGACCACCTCCATCCTGAATCAGGCCAAGCACCACATACAATCTGAGTCCCACTCTGACCCCAGTGGCCACCCCACTGACCGGCGTGCCCAGGAGGCAGCTTCCTTGCGGTCGGTCAGCATCATCTCATAGTAGTTGGTAAGGTTCTGCTCAATAAAGTGGAAGGTGCGCACACTAAGTGTTTCAGACACCAGCCCTGGCCGGAAGGAGGCAGCTCGGTTGAAGGCCATGAAGAAAGCCAAGGCCCACATGTAGTAGGTTTCATCATGCTGCTGAGCTTTCTCCCGGAGCAGGTGATCCTAACATGGGAGACAAAGACAAGATGAAACAGTGTTGATGATGATGATGGCAATGGTAACAACAACCTCAGGGCTCCCAACTCCCTCTTGTCCTGTGATGGTGGGCGGCTTCCAGAGACAAGTTCCCACTTCCTCCTCTTCTCCCCATGCCTTTCCCTCCCTCTGGGGCCTTTCTGTCAGGCAGCCATCCCCTCCCTCCAGGCACCTCTGCCAGTCCACACTCTGGAGTCAGCCTCCCATGAACTCCCCACCCCTGACCACCTGCACGCCACCTGCACGTGTCCCGTGGCCTCTCACCTTCACAGAGCCCATGAGCCGGTTGTAACAGTTTTCCAAGAACTCGGAGCAGAAGTCTCGGAGGAACAGCCGCACGTTGAGGGCCGAGCGTCGCTGGACAGACAGCTCCTGGGCGGCCTGGCGCCGCTTCGGCACCCTCCGTGGCTGCTTCCCCAAGTCAGAGGTGTAGTTTTGCAGCTGTGGGATGGTTGGGAGTGTGTGGGTTAGGGGGAATGAGAACAATTCCTAACCATTCTCCCCCTGCAAGTCCACCATCCCCAGCTCAGTGGTGAGACTACTCACCTTCTGAAGACCTTTGTGAAAGACGAGGTCTCGCTCCCCAATGGACTTCAGGCCCTGGACAACATAGGAACCTCCAAACCGGGAATGTCTGCAGGGAGGAAGAAGAAAAAAAGGTTTAGGGCGAGTCAAGGCTGTACAAGGGTGTCTGTGGCCTCCTGCCCTAGAGTTGGCCCCTATCCCTGGGCATTCTACTTCTCCGCCCCACACCTGTTGCCCCGCTGGAGGGCTCGAGTCTTCTTCTCTGCCATTTCTCGCTGCCGCAGCACTTCCAATTCCACTACCTCCCTGCTCCGCTCCTGAGCCAGACGACCCTGCCCTGATCTGGCCAGCTGCTCGGGGTTCTAGATTTGGAACAGGGAGAACAGACAGTTAGTCCTTGTCCTGAGTTCACTCCTTCCTGGGAACACAAAGAATGAAGCAAAACAGGATTGCTGATGGGAGCCTAAACTGAAGACACGGCCCCCTCCACCTGTTACCAGCCTTCTTCCAGGCAGTTTGGCAGTGACAATCACAGCAGTTTCCTGGCTACACAGCATCAACAGGACAGGGTCCACAACCCAGGGTGTCGCACCTGCTCCCGAAACATGAGGGAGATAATTTCTAGCACATGCAGGCTCCATTGCTGCTCAGCAGGCGAGCTGGCCAGGAAGAGGAGCAGGTCATCCAGGCCACTCAGGTGCACTGCCCAGAGAAGCTGGTCATGGACACTGGCGTCGTCGTCGATGCTCTAAGCAGAGAGAGCCAAAGTTACAAGGGGAGCTCATTCAGTCCCGCTGCCCAACTTGACTGAGGTCTGTGAGAGGATGGAAATGCCTGTAGAGGGCACTGGATCCAACCAAGCAGAGCGATGCAGACCCTGCTCCTCCCGCTCCCTGCCCTTGGCCCTTCACCTTCTGCTGATCGAGGTCAGCTGGGACATGTAGGATATTTCTGACTAGCAGCAGAATCCGCTCAATCAGCAGGTTGTCTTCCTCCTGCCGTTCCTCCCAGCCCTAGTGGTGAGAAGGAAGAGTCAATTGGAGAGACTCCTTTAGGGAGGTGGCAGATCTCTCCCCTGGCTGGGAGAGCATCAAGATTAAAAAGAAAGAAAGTGGGAGAGTTCAAGCAGCTGCTGCCCGGAGGCTGGATCCCCAAGGACAGCAGCCATTCTCCCACCTAAGTATCTCCACCCCATCCCCATTCCTGCCCCCTTCCTTGCCCTCTTGCTCACCAGCTGCAGCAGCTCATACAAGGTTTCACTGAGGACCCCAAAAGTCTTCTCACTGGCAAAGGCCTGGGTCATGGGGAACAATGCCTGAGTAGTCCCTCTCCCTCCTCCACGGCCCCCCACTCAGCCCTGGGCACTTGCAATGAAAGCCTCACCTCTTTGTAGGCCTGTAGGTAAGTCAGTACTTGCAGAAAGTGATGCCGAAAGCTGGGCTCCTTAGGCACACTGCCAAAGCACAACAAGGCTGGCTGTGTCAAGTTCACCATCAGTCTGGGGAGACAGGGCAGGAGGGAGAAGCCACTGAATTTCCTCAGCAGGCACAAAAATGAAACCAAACCAAACCAAACCTCAATAACCCAACAGCCCAGGCTTGCTAGGGAAAAGGTAAGAAGCTGGGACTGAACCTGATGACAGCATCGAAGAGAGGCTTGTCCTGGCGGTGCTGGGTGAGGATGGGCAGCAGGTCACTCTGCAGGATCTGGGCCGCCCCCAGCTGCTGCCGTACATCCCGCGTCTCATCCTCATGCCTCAAGTAACGGATCAAATCTTTCACACTCTCTTCAGACACAGAACAAAGCATGCAGATAGAACTTGGTTGAGACTCCCAGCCCGAGCTCAGGGCTGGGCCTCAATTCAAGCAAATGAAACATTTTACTTTTATATTTTCATTTTATTTGAAAGAAAGAGATCTACCCACTGGTGCACTCTCTTAAATGTCTACAGCAACCAGAGCTGGGCCAGGCCAAAGCCAAGAGCTGAGGAACTAAATTGGGGTCTCCCACATGAATGGCAGGGGCTTAAGCACGTGAGCCATCACCTGTTGCCCCCCAGGGTGCACAATTCGCAGGAGGCTGGATCAGAAGTGGAGGAGAGGGCACTGGAACCAGACACTCCAAAAACGTGCAACCAGATGTCCCAAGCAGCATCTTAACCTCTTAACCGCTGCCCAAACAGCCACCTCTCTCAACCCGTTTTTTGCCTGCTTCCCCAGAAAGGCACTTACCTAAGCAGTCTGGTTCTTTGTGGTAAGTGTCTCCCTCCAGGTACCCTAGGGCACTACATGTGGCTAAAAGTTCGCAGTTCATCATGTACAAGTCCATACATCAGAGGACCAGCCAAGAGGGAAGTAGAGAAGGGGGAGACGGAAACTGTAAGGCCTGCAGAGACAGGGAGAGAAACAAATGCAAGGCAGTCTCCAGGACAAGGTGGGGGAGCAGGAAGACCTGGAACAACGCTCGTGGCAGTGGGACCTCTGAAGGGATCAGTAGTGCTGCCATGCTCCAGGGAAAGCATTAGCCTGAGACTTTCACCTGATGAAACCAAACCAAGTCCCGCCTGTGGGTTACAGATATGTAACTGCAGAACCCACCCGTGTCAGCAGGAAGCTGAACAGGAAGACAGGCTGCTTAGAGAAGGGTGTGGACTCTGAGCCTGTCCCTCTGCAAGCATCCTTGGGAGGGTGAGGGGAAGCTCTCCCACAGCCACCTGCAACTCAGTCATGGCTCTCATTTACGCAGGAATTAAGAAAACCTAGCTCTGACCTCACAGGGATTCCACTTAGGGTTTGATACATCCCAGGAGCCCCAGGATGTCAGGGGGCACTGGAGATAAGACAAGAACATTTAAGCTGCCCATAAAACCTTGGGAATGTCCTAGGTAAGTCTGGAACAGAATGGGAGAAGAGAGACAAAGGACTGGTAAACTGCCTATCACTCTCGGGAAGGAATGTTTGCCCAGTTTGAAGCTCATTCCCTCTGATCAGGATCCCTATACCCTCATGGGATAAGCAAGGAGACACAGACTTGCAATCTGGGACATTGCACAACCTGACAGGAGCAACTCAGACATACTTTCTCCTGGACCCTCAACACACTGTATCTTTTCCCTGCTTTTCTGCACAGTTGGGAGCATCCATTGAAGCTGACACCTTGATACCTAGGGCCACACTACCGCTGCACCCTTGATGGCTTCCTCAAGAGGCCCTCCCCCAGCCCTGGTGCTTACCTCCAGCCTGACTCCACCTCAGATCACAGACAGGAAATGGATAGTGAGTGTCCAACGACTAAGGTTTAATGCCTGATATTATCTCCCTGCATTTATGTAACTGGTCTATTTCTTCAGGTTACCTACTAACCCCCTAGTACTTGGCCCCGCCTCCCCAGCCTGTGTTAACCTACTTTCTGGCCACTCAGCCCAATAACAGGAGCCACTGGGAAAGTACTCACTGAATGACCAGCAGAAGGGAAGACAGCCTTTTGTGGCCCCCTGCCTTGCCCCTATTCCTGCACCCTGCAAACCCTGAGCCCTGGCCTCCAGGACCGTATCCACACTCCTTGGTCCTCCTCAAAGACAAACTCAGTTTCTTTGGAAGCCACTGATGTGCATACACAGGCACATGTGCATGTTCAGACATGCACCACGTGCATATGTGCATGCATTTGTGCCCAGCGTAAAGGCCTCACTGTCTTCTCTCTCCAAGCAGCAGCCTGAGCACTGGAAAACAGAGAGAGAGCTATGAGGAGGCCAAGCCCACAAACACTCCCAGACAACAAGCTGAGGCATCATCGGCTGCACTACAAAGTATAAGGCTTCATGGGCCTCTAACAGCGGAGAGAAAGCCACGGATAGAAACAACCTCATGCACCCCGCAGCCTCCCTCTTTCCCACAGCTCCTCAACAGAACCCCAGTTCTAAGTAGGAGTTCTCATTTATAACATGGAAAATATACAGAGAATTCAGACCTCTGTTTCCCCCCCTTCCCAACCCCAAGGCGGGGGTAGCCTTCCTTCCTGGCTCCCACAGAAAGGAGACGGGAAGTAAGTGTTCCTGACAGGTGAGAGGAGGAAAGAGGTTATGTAAGTGACCCCTGGGCTTCCGGTCCTAATCCCCTGCAGTTCTGATAAATCCAGGCTGCTGGGCAACAAAACAGAAGAAATGGGTCAGCCGACTTGTTGTGGTGCTCCCAGGACAGGGGCCCCAAGGCCTTGGATCCATTCACTTGTCAGGAATAAAAGAGCTTTCAACAGGAGCCCATTCCTCTCTGGTAGAGACACGCTGTGAAAAATATCACCCAGGGACAGAAAGCTGGGAGTTGACCTTCCTCATTCTCATTCAGTTGACTGAAAGCTATTCTCCAGTCCACCTGGCTTCCTCATCCGTTCCTGGTTTCTAACCTGGTTGTTTGTATTGTGCACTCCTACCCAGCTGCCACTTCCTCTAGGGGTCCATGCTTGGCAGCTTCCTCCAGCTGTCAGCCTTCCACCAAGGAACACCTAGTACATGTTGCGAGATGTGAAACTGCACTCCCCAGCTCCCCAAACTTTGGTTCGGTTTATTTATTGCGCCTGGAAGGCCTCTCTCTCCTGCCTTCAAAGGCACTAAACCTAGCTAACCTGCAAGACTGGGCTCAAATGACCTTCCTCCATGAGGCCTTCCCTGATAGCATCAGCAGTCTGTAAGCGTACCTCACTCTGTTCCTCCTACCTAACCTTTCTGTCTTCTCACTACCCAGAACCATTCTTGTTTCCTTTTATTAAACCTTACATATTTCAAGGGCCTGACACGGTGGCCTAATGGCTAAAGTCCTCGCCTTGAATGCACTGGGATCCCATACAGGCACCGGTTCTAATTCAGGCGGCCCTGCTTCCCATCAAATCCCAGCATCTTCCCTTCCCATCCAGCTCCCTGCTTGTGGCCAGGGAAAGCAGTCGAGGATGGCCCAAAGCCTTGGGACCCTTCACTCAAGTGGGAGACCTGAAGAAGCTCCAGGTTCTTGGCTTCAGATCGGCTCAGCTCTAGCTGCTGCGGCCACATGGAGAGTGAATCAGCTAACAGATCTTTGTCTCTCCTCTCTGTAAATATGCCTCCCAAATAAAAATAAATAAATCTTAAAAAGACAGTACCCAAATGGCACTTGCCCTGATTTCTCCTTCTCACCTACTTTTGTGTCCTACTCAGACTTCCACCACAGTCTTTTATATCTCATTTGTACGTAACAGTTAAATGCTCAACACCTGTCTCTACCAGCCTCAGATCCCAGACAACAGGAATCAGTTTTTAGCCACCTCTGAATTTTCAGAGCCTGGCAACTGGATCAAAATGTTCAAGGAGTGAAGCCTGGACAAGTGTTACATACTTGTGGAGTTATTCTCACTCAAGCTTCTGTAGACACCTGCACTGAAACGTAAACCCCTTAGGGTCTGGAATCCTGGGCCCACAGAAACTGAGGAGCAAGAGATGGGAGGCAAAGGACTGAGGCACCAGGACACAGGATGTGTGCATGTGGAGAGCAGTGGAGACGCCAGCCAGGGAGGCCTTCTTGGTCACCTGCACCTGTTTTTCCTACCCGCAGTGGGAGGGCCTCAAGAGCAGAAACTCCGGACATCCAGTGCTTAGCCTGAGTCAGGAACTCCGGCAAATTACCCTGAGTTTTTATGACTGCCACTGGGAAGGGACTAGCTAGACCTACCAGGACAGCTGAAGCTGGCTTTCACAAGACACCTGAACTTCATCTGAATTAAGTCAAGTTCACCTGGCAGAGAAGCAAACTTCCAAAAGGAGGGTACGGCAGGAAGAGGGGCTGAATACGAACAAGGACAGCGTAGAAAACATCCTTTGCATGTGCCCGGAGGGCAACCAAATGAAATTAAAAATCAATAAAAACGAGGGGGACTCAGAAAATTATGCCAAACATCAGGGACACGCGGTGATGGGCTAAGGATTTACGGTGGACAGTTATTCTCAGCTACACGGGAACGAGTCCTCTGAGTCCTGGTGGCAGCAACAAAGGCTGAGCACAGGACAGACACTACTGGCCGGTGGTTCACTGCTGACGAACCCCAATAGAAGCTGGGTTCTCCTACATCCGGGGGAAGGGAAAAATCCCTTCTGTAAGAACCCAAAACCCAAGCAGCCGAATGGGGCGTCCAGACGCGGACATCCACGCGAATGCCTTCTTTTGCTCTACTTCAAGGGGCGCAAGCCCCTCCCGGCCCCATCCCAACGCCAAACTCTGGTCCACACCACCGGAAACGGTACGGCGCTGGGGCACAGCGCGCGGAAGGGGCGGTACTGCGCCTGCGTCCAGAGCCGCGCCCCGCCCCCTACCTTGGAACATTCAAACCGGGCCGCGGGAAAGGGGACTCCGCAACCCCACCGGGATGTCCCGTGGCTTCGCAAGGGGCCGGCGTCGGCCTAGAGCGCCCCTCGCCACACTCACTCACCCCCTCCCTGCCGGTCTTCGGGGGCCCGAGGAACCTGCAGCCCTCACACTCCGGCCTGCAGCATTTCCCGCCACCGGCTCGGGCGGACCAGTCCCCGCCTGCGTCGGGAGCGGGGCTGGGCGAGCGGGCTGGTCCAGCTGGCTCCGCGCATGGGGGTGTTATGAGTTGGTGATAAAAAAAAGAGAGGGAAGCGAGTACTCGGACTGTTGCCATGAGTTGGTATCCCACAGTAAACTGAAATTATTGCACTTTGAGTCTTTCGATGAATGATGATAGGAATCCAGATCCAAGTAGAGGTGGATTTACAAACATTATCCCCCTCTTCTTAGTCAAGTGGACTATTCCAAAGACTTTGCTGGTTGGTTAGAAAACTTAGGTTTTATTTGGGAGGTAAAGTGGACCGCGGTGGTAATCTGAAGGAGTGGTCTTTGGGTGTAGTAGTATTGGCACAAGTTTAAAGTTTGTGAAGTATGTAGGAGGCTCGCAAAAGGAATCCACGATAAATGCTCATTGTTCAGGGTTTCCTGCCTTTTCTTGCGTGTATTTTGCTGACAACAAGAGAAGATGGGTTCAAACGAATCATCTAAGCAGTTATGAAGCATCAGAATGCAAGAGATCCATCTTTAGGGTATGAGGGAGAGTCAGAAGAGGTTTGAGAAGAAAGGACATGAGAAAAAGGTGAAAAGACACACATACAAAAAGACTACGGGAGCTACTGATCAAAACAGAAAGATGCAGATTGTCTTAATTTGCTTTAAATAAAAGTCTGAGGCTCAAAGCCTTTGCCCTCTCTCTCCGGGACCCAGTGTCTTCCCCCCCCCCGCCCCTGTTGCTTCAGGTTTCTTGTTGGGGCCTTAGAGAGCAATTCTAGAAAGACAGTCCCACCTTCCAGGGGGCCACGCCCAGGAATATGCAGGCAAAGAGTTAAGTTTGCTTCCCTTTCCTAGATTCTAGGCTCACCTGCAGCTTCTTTAGGTTGGAGCTCTCTGGCCCAAGTCTCCGGAGAGATCGGTTGTGCCAGAATGAACACACAGCCCAGCCAGTGGATGTAGACAGGTGTACGTAGCTTTATAGAACAGCTCAAATCCCACTGTTCATTTTTCTTAGAACTACTTCCCCATCCACTTCTCTGGGCAAGCATTCCTGAGATGAGCAGGCCATTGTGCTCTCCCATTTAGTCTACCCCTAAATATTTTGACAGACTTGCCTCCTGGTCTGGGGCTAATTCCTCCATTTCCTCTCTCATCCTCTGAAAGTCCCTTCCCCCAACCCGTGGAAGTCCTTGTTTCCTTCCCTTCTCTCCATTTGTTCCTTGAGAGAACTAACTCCATTGCTTCCCCGGTCCCTTCAAAAATCAAGGTGTTCTACCTTGACTGCTACATAATAAAGAAACTTAAGGTCTTGGTTCCCTGTGCTCACCATGCTGGATTGTGGGAGGAACATAGAGGGGGACACTTTTCCCTTCCCTAACTCTCATGCTCTCCTCCCAAACTCAGACACAACCACACTCACCCACATGCATAAGGCACAATCGTGTTCCTGCACACACGGCGGAGGGAGGTGAGATGAGGAGGAAGGGAAGTTTGCACCAACCAGCTCATGAATGCAACTTGAAAGATTTCACACAGCAAAAGGTAGGGAAAACACACACATAAGTTAAAAAATAAAGAAGGATGTGCCCCTGCCCACAGTCTCTGTCTTCATCCAGAGGCTTGCTCGGCCCTTCCACGTAAACCTAGCAGCTCCCTCTTCCCTCCAGGCAACCGGAGCTGTCACAGGGCCTGGGTCTTCAGCTCAACAGGCTCCCCCGGGCCCTCTGTTTGTCCATTGGAGTCACTAGGGCGGGTCCCCTTGAGGATAGACAGTCTCTCAGAAACACTCTTGAGCCGGGGGAAGAGGAGAAAGTCGTAGAGGAGGCTGCCCAGACCGCTTCCGATGATCGGGCCTACCCAGTACACCTGTAGGGAGAGACCAGGGGTACTCAGCGGAGGGGCACTGAGCAGCCAGGCTGCCTGGCTTTCTCTAGCACCCCCCATGCCAAGGAAGACATGACATCCTGGGCCCTGAGTCCCACCTGGGCATTAATTAGTAGAAATCAGTGTTTGTTTCTTTGTATGCATAAGCGCTAGTCTCTCTGGCCTCCAAACTCACCCTTTCTTTTCTGATTCATTACACCATCATTGAATCCCACACTTTTTGGAGGGCATGGATATTCTGTTTGTTGGTTTTGATATATAAGCGTGCATCTTATAAGAATTGTAAATTGTGGTAAACAACCATAGCAGGAAATGGATCATTTTAACCATTGCTAAGTGCACAGTTTAGCAACATGAAGTCTAGTCACCCTGCTGTGCAACCCGTTTCTGGGACTCTATCATCCTGCAAAATGGAAGCTCTACATTGGTGAAGCAACTGCCCATTTCCGCACCTAGTCCTCTAAACCCTTGGCAATGATTCTTCTTTCTGTTTCCATAAGTTTGAGTCCTCTGAACACCTCATAAAGTGGAAGCATGCAAACTTGTCTTTTATAATTGTTTTATTTCACTTATGTAAATGTCCTGAGGTTCATCCCTGTTACAATAGGTGTTGAAATTTCCTTCCTGGGGCCAGCACCATGATGTAAGCATCCAACAGTGATGCCAGCATGCCATATGGGAGCTGTTTTGAGTCCTAGATGCTTCACTCCTAATCCAGTTCCTTGCTAATGTGCCTGGGAAAGCAGTGGAGGATGGTACAAGTCCTTGGGCCATCGGGGAGACCCAGAAAAAGTGCCTTGCTCCTATCATTGGACCAGCTCAGCTCTGGCCATTATGGCCATTTGGGGAATGAACCAGCAGATAGAAGATCTCTCTCTCTGTCCCTTCCTCTATCTCTGTAAATTCTGCCTTTCTAATAAAAAGAAATAGAGATGCACAGACAAAACTCCCATTAACTGCTTTACTCCCCCAAGTACCTGCAACAGCCAGAGCTGGACCAGGCCAAAGCTGGGGCCAGAAACTCAATCCAGTCCTCCCTCATGGGTGCCAGAGCCCTAAGTGACCCATCTCTGCTGCCTTCAAGGGTCTACATAAGCAGGAAGCCAGAATTGGAAGGGAAGCTGGCACTGAAATCCAGGCACTCTGATCTGGGCTATGAAGGAGTCCCAGGCAGCATTTTAACCACTAAGTCAAAAACTAGTCTTAGACTTTGTTTCCTTGTAATGGTTTGTGTGTATATGTTTATACCACATTACATTTATCCATTTATTTACCGAGAGCCACTTTTGTTGCTGCCACCACTTGACCCCTGGAAATCTTGCTGCTGAAGAAGTGAATGGGCAGCTCTGAAAATCCTTTGAATTATCTTCATGTTCGGTTTGCATAGGCCCAAATAGCATAAAACGCACCATTACTTATAGATTTGCTCTATGTCAGATTCCATGCTGTTTCATATAAAACTTTTCAGCCTCATTCTCATAAGACTGTTTTACAGTTAGAGAAACAGAGGTGCCTGATGAGTGCAATTTCTGATATGAAGGCTGAGAGCATAACTGGGATGAGATGCCTGTTTGTGCTCAAAACAAATCCTGATCTAGAACAGCAGGCTTTGTCTTTACACTTGGTGGTCTATTCCCACAGGCCTTAGTTTTGGCATCCAGTGGCTACTCAGTTCAAAACCCAGATAACCAGATGAGGAACAATGCTTACAGGTGCAAGAACCTCCTTTTTGAGCCCAGCATGATGGCTCAATTACCTAATCCTCCCCTTTCAAGCTCTTGGATCCCATATGGGTGCCGGTTCATGTCCAAGCTGCTCCATTTCCCATTCAGCTCCCTGCTTGTGGCCTGGGAGAGCAGTAGACCATGGCCCAAAGCCTTGGGACCCTGCACCCATATGGGAGATCCAGAAGAAGCTCGGGGCTCCTAGCTTTGGATCAGCTTAGCTCCAGCCGTTGTGGCCACTTGGGAAGTGAATCAGTAGCTGGAGGATCTTTCTCCTTCTCTCCATGGATCTGCCTTTCCAATAAAAATAAGATAAATCTTAAAAAAAAAAAAAGAACCTCTTTTTCTAGCAAAATAACAACTCCAACTCACATAAATGTGGCAGACTCTGCCTCCCTTAACTGAGTGCTGGTACAGCAGCCACCAGCTCTGAGCAGGGGGTAGCGGGATGTAAGATGCCAACCTTGGAACTTATGTCCATACCCATCCAGAAGGGCGCTAGTACCTTGACCCTCTCCCCTCACTTACCCAGTGGTTGGTGAAGTTCCGGGTGAGAATGGCTGGAGCAAAGGAGCGGGCAGGATTCATACCTGCACCTGTATAATACATCTGCAAAAAATACAATGGTAACTGAGACTGCGCCCTTCTACCTTCTAGCATCTTTTCCCACTGCCCCACTGGCCCTGGATGTTGTCTTCTTGTCTCTAGCCACCAGCAAGTAAGGAAGGACAACCAGGGATTCTCATGGAGTGGGGAAGGCACATCTGGGTCAATGTGCACCCGTGACTGTGCATTTTCACCTTGGGCAAGAAGGACTTAAGCATAGCAGTCACAGGAAAGAGTGGGGCAAGGTTATGCTTCTCTGCTGGCAGATACAGAGAAGCCGAGCATGTTCATGTTTGGACGCAGAAAGGGGATCAAGAAGATGGTCCTGAAGCCCAGAAAGATTTGGGAACCCGGAGATCCTCACGCAGGGAGTGACTTGCCTCTCTTGCTTACCCCAAAGAGGTGCCCCAGAGTGAGGGAGAAGCCAACGGCCAGGGCTACAGAGCCCAGACGACCATTCCGCCGCTCATCATACGTGGCAAAGATGCACAGCACAAACTGGAGTGTCAAGAAGATCTCCACCGTTGTAGCCTGGCCCACACTCACCCCAGGGTGCAACTGAATAAAAGGAAGAAGGGAGGCAGCTCATTAGGGCTGGGCAGGCCAACATCAGCTCCTCAGGCCTCCAAGGACAGGGACCTCCCATCCCCACCCCTTTGGGCATCAGTTCCCTGGAGAGGAAGAATAAAAAACCCCCTCCACAGTCACTGGCTTTGGAACCCAGCCTCTCCTCCCACACACTCCTTTACAGAGGAAGTGGCTGCATCTGCCACCACTCATAGGAAGCATCAGGTGAGATACGTTTCTTCAAGAGCCTACAAGGATTGGGTGGGAAAGCTGGGACCCAAACTCAGGTTTTGTGATTCTCAGTCCAAGAGAATCACTTTCTCTGTGCCTCCCTTGCACCCTATGGATCCTCTCCATCCTGAAACACATAAGCACGCACATGCAAACACACACACACACACACACACACACACACACACACACACACACACACACACACACTGTCCCAACCCCCAAGCTGCTGATTTGCCTGCAACAGAGTCAGGACAGCAGAGGACCCCCCCCAGCACCTCACAGGCGACCATCCTTATTACCGTGTTGAGTGCTAGGTTTCCTCGGACGGCAGCCGGGGTAACACTGTACAGCACAGCAGCCCCAGCCACGGCCCCTAGGAGCTGAGCTGCCACATAGCAGACTGCACGGAGCAGGGACATCTGAGAGCCCACAAGGAAGGCAAAAGTGACTGCCGGGTTGATGTGGGCTCCGCTGATGTGGCCCACAGCCTGTACCAGCGTAGCCAGCGCCAGGCCAAAAGCCAGAGCCACCTGTAAGACATGGAGGGGTCCAGGGGCCCAACGCAGGGAGGCACCCAGCCCGAAGAAGACATAGAAGAGGGTGGCAAAGAACTCAGCAAATATGGCCCTCCAGAAGGAGGCTGAACGCAGTTCCCACATGGCAGGGGGGATGGGCACAGAGCCTGGGTCCCTGATACCCCCCTGGTCCCGTCTAGGTGGACAGTCCCCTTTATAGAGGTCTCCTAATCCCTGGGAGGGGCAAGCCTCCAGGGTAGCTGGCCCAACCTCTTAACCCTTTCACAGCGGGGCCCACAGGCAATCATCTGGTAAATGACTGAATTTCCCTTTTGCTCCTTACCTGAGAGATCAGCTAGTGAGGGGACCCAGGAAGAGGGCCCTGAAAGAGTATCCTGTTGTGTAACAGTTGGGGTTCACACTCCTGATGGATGCCTGTTATCAGAACATGCCTCCACTCTCCTCAGAAAGCCTGTGGAGCTGAGTTTACATCATGGGGTAGGGGGCTGGCACCTGGGGGCTTCGGGTTCCTCTGAGCCATCCAGGAGTAACGCTGGGGGTGGGGGAGTAAGGAGTGGGGTTCCACAGGGAAGCTGGAGAACAAGGGAATTTTTTCATGCCCTTGGATTAAAGGGCCCTCCCCCATTGGCTGGGCTGGGCTGGAATCTGTAGACCCTGCAGCTCTGGCACAGAATAGTTCTGCTGCGTCTAGCTTTCTCAGAGCCGGCGGCCTCTACCCCCAGCCCATGCCAATGCCTCCCTTTCCAAACCCTTTTAGACCAGAGATAGACCAGAGTGGGGTCGGGGCTGGGGAGGAACCACAGGGTGGGGGAGGGCAGAAGGAGGAGCTGACACCCACGGACAGGAGTGGGAACTGTGGAAGAGTAGTCTACTCTCGGAGTCAGTGTGTGCTTCCTCTCCCCTCATTCACCAGGCCGTAACAGTGAAGGGAAAGAGACAAGGCCAGGGCTTTGAAGCAATGCAAGGCTCCAGTTGCCTCTGCCACAGACAAGATCAGGACTCTGGGCTCCTTCTCTAGGGAACTGCCTAGGAGATGCAGGTTGGTCAAGGGAAGAGAGAAGGACCACATGGAGAAGGACAACGGACTAGCAATGAACTTAGGACCTGAGGTGGGGGCAGTGTGCTGGTAGAGAAGGCCGAATGGGACACAGCAATAGGCTGCACTGTCGGCATGTCACAACTGGTCATACAGGCTGTAAGCTGCTCCCTGGAAGCACCCAGCAGAGAATGATGACCTGAAGGTGAAGCCTGCAAGGAAGGGGGCCAGCATGGTCCCATCCAGCTCACCTGTGGGTGGGGAGGAGCACAGATGAGGGCCTGTGCTGTCCTCCTCCTCCAGTATTCAGCTTGGGGAAGATGGAGGTAGAGTCCCCAGCTAACGTGAATACCAGCACCAAGAGCTGCTAAGAACAGGCCCGGTGCACCTGAGTTCACGGAAGAAAAACTTCGGAGGTCTTCGGTGCTTCTTGCATTCCAGATGCCCCTGAGATAGTCTCAGATTGCAGTCATGACTACTGGCTCCAGGGAGTGTGCAGGGTTCACAGTGCCTTCAGAAAAGGCAGAGACTTGGCCAGCAGATGCTTGGGTACCACCATGGAGTGATAGGATCAGTCACAATTCCTGATGGCAGTATAAGGTGGGATGATAATTCTGTAACCCCATTGAGAACCATTTTGTAAAGACAGTAAACATTTACTTCACATCTTGCTTATCTGTTTATGTACTAAAAGCTTTTCTATAAATTTACCAAGAGATATTTATGAGAATGTTTAGAGCAGTGTGGTTCACACTGACAACAAAAGTTCAAAGCAAAACAAAACAACCTGGAAGCAATCCAAATGCCCAGGAGAATGGATGGATGACTGCAGCGGGGTATTCAACAGGGGAATATTAGTCATCAGTCAACATGAGTGAACCACTACAATGCCACTTAATAAACATGAGCCTTAGCAACAAAATGGCAAATAAAGATCCAGAAAATTATACACAGAATGATAATTGAGTTATACAGCTAGTGAATAGCTAAGTGAAAATACACTTTTTAAAGATTTATTTTATTTTTGTTGGAAAGTCAGACGTACAGAGAGGAGGAGAGACATAGAGGAAGATCTTCTGTCTGATGATTCACTTTCCAAGTGAGCGCAATGGCCAGTGCTGCACTGATCCGAAGCTAGGAACCAGGAACCTCTTCCAGGTCTCCCACGCGGGTGCAGGGTCCCAAGGCTTTGGGCCATCCTCAACTGCTTTACCAGGCCACAAGCATGGAGCTGGATAGGAAGTAGAGCTGCTGGTATTAGAACTGGCGCCCATATGGTATCCCAGTGCGTTCAAGGCAAGGACTTAAGCCTAGAGGCTAAAGTCCATGCCGCCGGACCCAATATATATATATTAATTTTATTGAAAAGGCAGACTTACAGAGAGGTTGAGAGACAAATAGAAAGATCTTCCATCTGCTGGGTCATTCCCCAAGTGGCTGCAATGGCATGAGCTGAGCCAGTCCAAAGCCAGGAACCAGGAGCTTCTGCCAAGTCTCCCACACAGGTGCAGGGCCTTAAGGCTTTGGGCCATTCTCTACTATTTTCCCAGGCCACAAGCAGGGAATTAGAAGGGAAATAAAGCAGCTGGGACATGAACTAGCACCCATATGGAATCCTGGTGGAAGCAAGGCAAAGATTTAGCCACGAGGCTATGCTCTGGGCCTGAAAATACACTTTTTAAAAAACATTTATTTTACTTACTTGAAAGACAAATTGGCAGGGAGAGATGTAAAAATACAGCAAAAGCTCTTTCATCTGCTGGTTCACTCCCTAAAGGGTTCCAACAGCCAGGCCTGGACCAGGTTAAAGCCAAGAGCCAGGAACTCCACCCTGACCTTCCACCTGGGGAGCAGAGGACCAAGCACTTGAGCCATCACTGCTGCCTTACAGGCATATTAGCAGGGAGCTGAACTGGAAGCAGAGCCCAGCAGTCTGATAAGGAATGCCAGCGTCTCAAGTGGCAGCTTAACTTGCAGTGCCAAAACTCTAGTCCCCAAAATACACTTTTTGGAACACATATAGAAGAGATTTAAAAATATGTAAAAAGGAAAACAAAAGATGAACACTGAATTCAAGATAGTGTTCAGGTTTGGGAGAGGCGAAGAGATGGGATGAATACAAATGGATTTGGGGAAAGTGGTAAAGATCTATTTATTTTTATTGGAAAGGCAGATTTACAGAGACAAGAAGAGACACAAAGAGAAAGATCCTTCTTCCACTGGTTCACTCACAAATGGTTACAATGGCCAGAGCTGAGCTGATGCCAGGAGCCTGGAGCTTCTTGTGGGTCTCCCAGGTAGATACAAGTTCCTAAATTTTCAGCCATCCTCTACTGCTTTCCCAGGCCTGGGAGCTGGGTGGGAAATGGAGCATCTGAGATACGAACCAGCGCCCATATGGGATCCCAGAATTCAGGAGGAGAATTAGCTTATTGAGCCACCATGTTAGCCACACCTGTGGAGTTTTGTGAAGCTCAACGTTTGAACATATGGTTTAAAATGCTGCAAAATCTTTATTAAAAACACATAGGGCAGGCAATTGACCTAGTGGTTAAGACTCCAGTTAACATGTGTATGACTATCATCACAGTACCTGGCTCTGTTCGCAGTACCAGCTTCCTGCCAAGGCACATCCTGAGAGGCTGCAGGTGATGGTCCAAGCAGTGAAGTTCCTCCCACTCATGTGGGAGACTTGTATTGTGGGTCCTGGCTCCTGGTCTCAGCTTGGCCCAGGCCTTACCATATATAGGCATTTGGACTTGCCAAAGGGAGATTTCTTTCTTTCCCTCAAATAAATGACAGGGAAAGGCATATTTAAGCACACGAGGAGAGGGTATCATGAACAAAAGGACATTCTGTGTAACCAGAATTCATAAAGAACAGCAGCCATCACAACAGCTCTCATGTCAGCACTTTCTAGGTACAAGTTTAAGGCGAGTTTTCTCCATCAGACATAGCTGCAGGACGACAGGCACTAGGCCTGACTAGTTCACTCCTAAAAACCTGATGCTTAGCACAGAGCAGGCAGTAAATGAGCATCCATTGATTCAGTGAATGGGAGATCTTGGAGCTTTGATTTTCTCTGGGTGGAGCCTGATAACACAAGTAATTGTTCCTAGTCAGGCAAAACACTGAAACATCAGGAGCCACTGGTGAGGTTTTCATGAAACGGCAGGGGTTATTGCTATCCACCAGACATATGACCTCAGAGAATTAGAAACAGAAGGGCAAGGTGCAGCTAACTCAATTTCTCATTAAAGCCAAAGAAAATGGTTAGATCAAACATGGAAATCCTCTAGAGAACTAAACCCCAACCCAACTTTTTTTGTTGTTTAAGATTTTAAAAAATTATTTAAAATCTGGAGAGAAAGGGAGAGAGAGAAGCCTTCCATCTATTGGTTCACTCCCCAAATAGGTGTAAATACCAGAGCTGGGAAAAGCCTAAACCAAGAGCCTGGAACTCCATCTGGGTTTCCTATGTGGGTGATAGGGGCCACACTGCTTTTCCAAGCACATTAGCAGGGTCAAATGTGGAGCAGCCAAGATTTGGGACCTGAATTGGCACTTTACATGGGATGCTATTGTTTGCAGGCAATTGTTTAACCTGTTGTACCACAATGCTGGCTTATTTGGGCACATGAACTGTTAAAAGAAATGTCAACCCTAGTCTGTTATTTTTCAACAAAAGCAAACAAAAATGTTCCTTTGAGAAGGTTATCTATGTTGAGAAATAGATTCCTGCCTTGCCAAAACCCCTGCTTAGTGTGGGTGGGGTTCTTATTTATTTATTTATTTGAAAGGCAGAACTACAGAGAGAGAGAGAGAGGGAAAACAGAGAGAGGGATCTTCCATCTGCTGGCTCACTCTCCAAATGGCTGTAATTGCCAGGGTTGGGCCCGGTTGAATTCAGGAACTTCTAAATTTTTCATGTGGATGCTGCTTTTCCAGGCACATTAGCAGGGAACTGGATCACAAGTGGAGTAGCTGAAACTTTTACTGATATCCCTACAGGATGCTGGTATTGCAGGCAGCAGCTGAACTTGGCAATGCCGCAAGACTGGTGCTGAAGTGGCATTCTTATTGTTGGCATCACGAGAAGCTGACAATCTGGCCCGCATG